CCTAACCCTAACCCTAACCCTAACCCTAACCCTAACCCTAACCCTAACCCTAACCCTAACCCTAACCCTAACCCTAACCCTAACCCTAACCCTAACCCTAACCCTAACCCTAACCCTAACCCTAACCCTAACAACCGGACCGAGTTGTCTATCCCTAAGGGGGTAGTTTACGGGAATTAACCCACGCCCTGGGCCGCCCCTCGGGGCCGCCTACAGGGAGGACCCGGACCGGGCGGACCGGCGGGCCGGGGGACGGTCTAGACTCCTGAACACGTGACCCGGAGTTAACCGTGGCTACTGATTGGACCGTAATGATCCGATATCAGGTGAGTCATATGGTATGACTCAACGGGCCGGTTCGGTAGTTCGGCTATTAAGAGAGTAAGCACGATTACGCATTTAACCGCGTAACCGGTCTAGGCCCGTCTGGACGGGTCTAAAGACGTCGCCGATGACGATATAAGATTAATATCGTACGATTATTGTCAGACCACTTCTAATAAGAAGCACGAGTCGCAATAATCGCGCAATTCGAGCGCACGGACCCTGATGAGTATTTATACGAAATGGGTTGGCTTGGGGATTTTCCCCAGCCCATTGGTCCCGTCTCGTTGAGCCTACTAGCTCCGTACTCGCCTTAACAGCCAAACTACCGCACCGCCGCCTCTTGTACGTCGGGGATATGTTAAGTCCCCTATGACGTCTTCGGCACCCCTCCCTCCGGGGGGGCCCCGCCGAAGAGTCGTAGGGTCCACCCTAACCCTGTACTGATACACATACCCGATGGTGGGCACATCCAGCAACCACTCCTCTGCACGCAGATCTTCCCGCAGCCCCCCTTTCTGCCTCAAACAGAGTACATCCAACCACACGTACTCCCTGCCTAGATTCAGCATCTCGATGCGGATGAGGTTGAGGTTCGTTACGCTTGGGATGGGCACGGGCCATTCGTGTCCGTTGATGGGCGTCCACACATCCACGCGATCCCCATCATCCACCCAAGCATGTGATATGGGACATGAACAATCTGATCGGGCGATCCACGTCGGCACGACTCGATTACTGTACAGATCCCAGGCACGCCGAGGGTCCATGGCCGGATTGACAATGCAGTTTCCATCCAGTGCGTTTCGTCGCAGCTCGTAGTCCTTCTGTTCACATCTGCATAGTTCTTCTGGGATGGTACTGCAATCTTCAGTGTACCATACCTGGCGAAGGCGGCCGTACACAGTACCAAAGTCATAATTCTTCGAGATACACCCTTCAAGAAGGGAGGAGAGGGATGGGGTCTCTAGGGAGTATGATGTTCCGAGGGTAGCGTTGAGTTGCTCCAGGAGGCCCTGAATGCCGAGCGTGGCACAGGGAGTGTTAGCGAGAGAGGCTGATATCACAGGCCTTGCACCAGTGTACATCTGCTGTAATGGAACAACGATGTCTTCCTCCACCTGGTTGATCTCCGTGCTGGCGGAAATTGTCACCTCCGGGAGCTTCGTATACTAGAGACGTGCCAGAAATATGTTATTGAGCATCATTGCACTCATTTCCAATGCACTCACTGCTTCATCCCGTCGACGATCTCTAGCTTCTCTGCACTCCGATGGGACTGTAGATTTTTGTTGTTTAGAAATCTGTTTTGAAAAATAGATAGAAGGTAAGAAATACATACTCCACAACCAAGGATGCCGCGGCGAAGTATCATCCATATTTCGATCGGCGTATCAGTGGGTGTCAAAGTGCATCCCAACCTCGATGAACAAAGGTGGGCATGATGTAATCTGTCCTACCTCAGGCTTCATGACTTTCTGATGCCTCATCCATAGATCCGCCATCCGAACGCGGCGTGACGGTTGCTGTGATAAAAATCACCACCGACATCCGCAAAATGCTTTCTCCGGCTTAATTATTTGCACAGCTCGATCCAACAATAGCGAAGACATTTTCCGAAGAGTAATACTGTTGTTGCTGAAAATTCATAGGGTGGGTTCAAACTGAAATATATCTTCGTAGCTGCCTTGCAGATGCAGTCGTGAGGGCTAATCATCTGTGACAGGTTTTTGCGCTACAGCATATAAGATAAGCACGGAGCGCCAAGCGTCAAGTGTAAACTTCTAGTGCTGTCAATGGAATTCCCCAATTACATCAGATGCCCCACATGAAACACCGCTTTCATTCAATACGTAGCTCCACAAATTGAGGTACGAAGAAGATTGCATCCATGAAATGTCAACGAGTGCTCACAAGTGATCGGAGTAACCATTGAACTTGCAGCAGACTGGGGTGCGAGGTAGACCTGTAATAGATCGTCTTGAATGAGAGGCAAGCTCACGATCAAGACGACCTGTAAATATGAGCTCAAATTTGGCTGATACATTTTCGCTTATCTCACACCTTCTTAAATAGATTTTGATACCTAATTGGGAATGACTGAGAACCGCGTCGCGTTTGTGTCAATATTTTATTCGCCCGTAACAGAGGCATTTCTTCATCCAACGAGGACACAAGTTCATAAATTTATGTCTTCTAAACCAATTCCAGCTTTCAGTGCTCGCAACTACCCCCATCTACTTTATATTCTCGCTATCCAATCGCTGTCGGCAATTCAAGCAAATATTTTCTCAAGCTATTTGTGCTCCTGCAACACCGTTAGCATGCGCAGGCTCAGAAAGAATGAAGGATGACCCTGAGATGATACAGAGTCCAGTTTCACCAACATGGACTGTACGTCATGCGCATAAATCAGTAAAATTCCCAGGTCCAGTCCAGTCTTATCCGAAAGTCGAAAGGAAATCGTAATCTATGAGAAGAATAATAGCCGACAAGAAGAAGGATGTAAGCAAGGATTTAATGAAGTACCAGTAGAGTACCGAAAGAGATAACTGCAAGGACTGGATTAAATGAGGCGGAAGATGCTACTGATCCAGACATTCGTGAGTGGTGAGCATTTCAGTGACAGTCCAAAGGTGTAATACAGCCATGGAAGAAAATCAGTAGAAAGCGTGATGATTTTGTACAGTTGTGGCTGCCAGGCATGAAGAAATTGCGTGGCGAGGTGCATGAGGAGCAGCGCAGCACGCGGGTTCCCAATTAAGCATCAAAATCTATTTAGGAAGGTGTGAGATAAGCGAAAATGTATCAGCCAAATTTGAGCTCAGATTTACAGGTCGTCTTGATCGTGAGCTTGCCTCCCATTCAAGACGATCGGTTACAGGTCTAGGTTCAAGGGAGGGAGAGCCAGGATTAGAACAATGTTGAAGGAAAACAAAGTTATCGAAGATCAGGCAGAATGGCGATGAAGCAAGGGAGGAGGATTGGTCGAAAGTAACGTATGTCGCAACAATGGCTCCAACAGTATTGACATCCTGATCTGTTGATGGGACGAGGTTAATTGACTCTCACACAGCCCGCGACACCGCAGCAGAGGCAAATGTTAAATGGAGATATGCAAGGAAGACGCCCAGACGAGGATCCGAATTTAACGAGCGCAAATGTGATGGCTGGCAGCTGAGAGCCCTAGTCATGGATCGCTGGGTATTTTAACAGCGATATGCATAATCATTTTTACAAAATGATAACATGCGAGAATGACTTCTAGAAATGATTGATAATGAGCCAAGACTTCGCTTCGCATTCCCTCCTGTTGTCCAAGGTTGGCTAAGTGCATGCATTCATCGGGGAACAAAAATGACTCACAAGTTTGGAAGATCAATGAATATGGTCGATGGGTGCTGTAAGATGTGATAATAACATCATTCTGTATCACCCTGATTCAGCGATGGGACTATGATGCCAACGTCTCCGAAGCTGCGAACGCGATCACATCATTCCCGTGGTATTCAAGCAGTCGAGGAAGCTTCGAGAGGATACGAAGTTAAGAAAAGGTGGCTTTGATATGGGAGATAAACGTACTTGCGGCGCTTTTTCCAGACAGAAGATACCTATTAATGTGATTAGACATAGAATCACAGTGACGGGACAATTCGTACCTGCTGCATGAACGTATCACCGCCATCAAATCCCTCCGTTCCGCCCCTGTATTGGAACACAGGTTCTTGGTCCAGATCGTAGAACGTATGATTTGCAGCATACACCGTGTTAGCTCGCTCGTAGGAGTCGTAGCCGAGTATATCTCATCCAAGGTATCTGTAAAGGAAGAATGAGTTCAAAATGACAGACCATAAACAACGAAATCGCTCGCCGGAATTGGCTGCTGCTTTACGGCAACAGGATCTGATCTTTTCGAATAGGCTAGTAGTATGCTCATTCTATCTCCGCAGAGGATATGATGCAGGGACGGACATCCAGAGGGAAGGTTTCTTGCAAAGAGTGGACGCCCATATCATACGCATAAGAGCGTCAGCAACGAAGCAACGAATGTACGGCTATCCTGAGCGAAATGTTCACAGTACGTGACGGGATCAACGAGCAGCAAACGAGTATCTGCGGAACACTGTAAGTCATGATCCGTAGCAGACAGACAAGGAGAAATAAAGACGGGTTCTACCTCTCACATTGGGAGCGTTCATAGATGAAGTTATTTTTCGTGCGAAGAGACCGGAGGTTGTGATTTCACTGACCATCAGGCTGTGGGGCACACGAAGCTACTTGGATATAATTGTGGTATTCTTGGCTTCAAGAAAGCGACCTTCAAACCAATGGATGCATGAGAGAAAGAAAAGTAAGGAACTGTCGACAGACGCACGTATTATATGCTCCCCTCGCATGGCTACGTCTGGATAAAGGCATTAGGCACACTATTCTTCCGATTTTTATGCAGCCATCATGGAACAGAGGTCGTATCGGAAATATCGCCGTAGCTACCAACAATCATGTCCTTGTACCCCAAGAAAGAACGAAAGATTTCACGAAAAACCATCAGCAGTTCGTTATCGTTTCTTCACGTTGGACTCACTCACATCACATACAGAGATCTCCAAGGTGAGCGTTATCATTTTTGTCGACCTTCTCCGCCGTTCCTGTGCATCGACCGGGACAAGAAAGTGCCTATGATAACTGCAAAGAGAGGAGGATTACCAATGTCGTCAATTACCAGAGATATCCGTACACACTGTTTCAGATCCGCTAGAATGCATCAGTGGCTGAGCATTGACTCACCCGAGTTGCTCGCAAGAACATCGAAGTTGGTGCAAAGTCGGTGAGAGACTCGTGTCACGGTCAAGTCACGATAAAAAGCTGTGCAGAGATCCAGGGCCGACAGATCCGGAACGCGACTCCGTTTGCCTCCGACACAGGCTCTTCCTTTTACGAACATCATCTCATTCTTTTCCTCTCCTCATCTCTACGACGGCCTCAACCTCCGAAGTTGGCAGCATCTTCAAGTAATTCTCTCTCGTTGCAAGCCCTTGTTTGTCTGCTCCTGGTCAGTGGTCTTGGACACTGTGAAATCGATGTTTCCCTTGGAAGAAAACTTATGCAGACCTGGTTCACAGTCGAGATACTGACACCTTGGGTGGGGCTCTTCAAATCGATCTTCCAGATTTTTGGAATGAGCTAGACGAGTCATACAACGGACCAGACCTCGTAAATATATAGAACAAGCGTGCGCGCGACCGGATCTTTGAAAGTGCCGATAAAAGTGTCCTACGCGAAGGCAATGGTGACGCCGCTGTCTCTGCAGTCATTATTTGTTTGCTAACCATAAATTAATGTATAATCACGGCCTGTTCGCATTTGCTATGCATATAACCAAGTTTCAGATATACATTCCTCGGATGTGAGATGAAGGACCCACAGAGCCTGGCAAGGAATCGACGACCTTCCCTCTTCCGGTACATGAATTTTTTGTGTACGATCTTTCTACCTTCCTAACGAAATACCACTGTCTCGGATAGCTTGTTCCTTGAATTCTAAAGTCATCGTCTTGTTGCAGAGACCCGGGCAAGAAACTGCAAACTGGATTTCAATTGGTCAAATATGATAACGGTTTTCTGTTCGACTTCGATGAAGGCTCACTTGTACATGGCATTCTGGCACGTCTCGAGTTAGATTTTCAGGGGAGAGTTACTCCTTGATTCCTTCTCTAAGTCAGCTCGACATTTAGACGGAGAAGCCAGGCTTCCGCGATAGAGATAGCTCTCTGCTCCGCTCGAACCTGTCGGTCCACGATTTCGACTAGGTACCGGCGGCCTACGGAAACGGTCCGTTCCCCCGAAACCTTGAAATCTTTGGTGACTTAGTCCGTTGTAACAGTCTCTCGAGCAAATCAAGCTTCCTAAACGTATCTTCCTTGTAGCAAATATATGGCTTACTCCAGATGAACCGCTTTAAGTGCCGCTGACTCACTTCAATTCGGCGCCTTCGCGGTTTGAAAATTGTCTGAATTTGAAACATCCGCCTGTCTCCATTTTCCATGTTCTACGACGCCGGATACTGCCACACAGGCAACGGGGTAGCCTGCTGGTACTACAACCACGACACCTGCTCACGAGGAACGAACTGTGAGTACTCCCATGCTGCCGATATAAGGAGCGTGCGGGATAGTCGGTGAGCAAGCCAGTTTTCTTGGTCGCAAGTCATAGTCTGACTCTCACTTGTATGCAGAGGTAAAAACGTCTGCCTTCACTACCTGCAAGGCTACTGCATGTTTGGCGACCATCCATGTCGATATTCTCATGATCGTCGATTCCTTTCTTCGAATCTATCGCATGGCCCTGTCTCTCTACCGCCTCCCGCCATTCATATCGATCTCCCACCTGCACCGATTCTTGCTAAACCAGACAAGCCACGCAAGTCAGCTGGTCTCAGGAAATTAGATAAGGTAGGGGGATATCCGTGTCGTCAGTATGTGGTGAAATGGTACGTGCATCTGTGACCCGTCTGCATTCACCTACTGAGATTCATATGTCCAGCTTCACAGAGTGTACTCCTTCTCGGATAGCACCAGCACGACCAGTAAACGATGCTGATTCGATGTAAGTCCGACGTATTCATTTTTCCTGCTTACGGTTTAATGTAGGCTGATTAGGCTGAACCGCCCAATGGCTTGTTGGTGGACGGTTATCGCGTTCTTCTGAAATCTTGAAGCCCACCATCATTATGAACGACAACATGAACACAATAGGCCGAGCGATTACAATGTAGCAGTCTTCCCAAATGACATTTGACGAGGCCGACGCTTATGATATTGGATCGTTCGCTCCTTGAATCACCCTCGCTGATCATGCGTTCGTATGAATACCTCCTTTATTTGGAGATTTTGGAGATCATATGCAGTTTCGTCCTTGATACCCTTGTCTTAACTGAAGTCTACGATAAAGGGTATGAAAAGAAGTCGCCTTCAATATCAGCTTCTCTTCAAGGTATGTTGCTGTTCTTTGCATCTTTTAAGCTCGTCTTTATCAGTCTTGGTTAGGTCGTCTATTATTACTAGACCCACTGGCGGTGTATACCACATACCACCACTCCCCATACCGACCGATAGTCCCTATGGCCTTGCCCGATTCTCCTTTTTTGGCTGTTCTAATGGCAGCGCCGTGCATCGAGACCGTTCCTTACATCTTTGTTTCTTCAGCGCGTTGAGCATGCAACGATATGTCACCGAGGACCGCCATGCGTGAAAAACGGGTACGTTGATCTTAGCGATTCAGAAACTACTTCCCGTAATGGTTTGTCCATTTTAATACGCGAAGACCACACAACGACATTCTGCCTCCAAAGAAATGGCATCGTTAGCTACTTCGCCAGACAAGGAGATGGATATTCACGGTCTTTCTCGACCACGGACCATGGTACAACTGCGATTTAACCCGAACTAAACACGGAGACAGTGGTGGAAAACCTCCTGACTCGCGGAGCATAATCAAAAGAAATGAGTCTAATTCCCCACCAATGCTGATAGCCGATAATTAACTGTCTCTAGATCTGTATTTAGCGGCCTTTTAAATATCGCATGTCCAGTGAGCTATTATTCACATAAAGAACAAATGCTAGCAGCCTATCTACAGATCATCTGAAGTCGTAACTTGTTCATAACTAAAAGGATCGAGGATCATTGTGATCATAGCGAGACATGTAAAATCGGAGACCCCTCTCACGTAAGGCAAGGAGACGCCTTTCGAAGGACTCCGACATAACGTATTCCATTTGAACGTGGATATACAAACGCTCTAGGGCAGCTCCGCCCGCTTCGCGAGACTCCAAAAATAGCATAATGCAATTCTCAACCGACTCATTTTCTTCCGCACTGAGACTCGGAGAAGATAGATCTATCTCCATAGAGCGTAGCCCAGGGAGAAATAATGCAACACTCTCTGAGGCGACAGCATGCGAAAGATCTCGAATATGGTCGTTGGCATGAAGGTGCGAAATGATATCTCTAATAGAGTCAACTGGGACCCAAAATATGGAGATCTCCTCGAGCGATGAACAACTACCACATTGGAGCAAGTGCAGCGGATCACAAATCATTGGACCCCACGAGAAATTGAGAGTCTTCAGAGCACAGCTTGACCGTCGCAACATGGAAACTATGCCATCGTTCGCATCTGTTGTATAATGACTGTCCTTGTATAATATATTCAGTTGCTTCAACGATGGCAAGACGACGAGCGACAATATGCCATCGAAAGACTGGGAACCAAGGATTGTCTCCCCGGTAAACGACTGTACTATGATGTAGGACAACCGAGTGATCTTGGGCAAAATGACAGGAGTTGCATGTGGATACTTGCGTGCATCCCAAGAAGAAATTTGTGACGTAAATGACAATGATTCGAGGGAGGACATCCGGCAAAGAACCTGGACTATCTGCGATGCGTTTAGATGAGATGTAGTAATCCCTCGCAGCGTTAAGGTAGTCAACTTCGACCATGGCAGCTGCAGATCCTGCCAACAAGAATTATCATCGACATTGTTGATGATGAGGTTTCGAAGATTGGTAGCTGATAGAAGTTGCACTTGATGGTAAGAAGATGTTGTTAGCCCTTCAACGATCTCCAGGGTCTCGAGAGCAGATATGGAGTGCTGAATGAAGGAAAACGGTTCCAGCGTAAGGCCTGAGAGACTGATTAATAATCGTTTCCATCGATAGGAAGAGGAAATGAAAGGCCAGAGATATGATATTCCTTCATTCGTCACAGGGTCGTTGCAGAGTGAGGTGACCGAGGATTCGTCGTTCGTCATATTGACATCACAGATAAACGAGATGTCAAGGGGAATGCCAGCAGATCGCTGTAGTTGAAGATGGAATCTCTTCATGAAGTACTCATATGAAATAAAATCATCATGAGGTGACTCCTTTGACAGCCGTCCTCGGGCGCGAACGGACTTGGGTATCATAGACATGTTAAAGTGTACCTGCGTCCACAGCAGCGGAAATGATAACGCAGTCTGCCGCCACATTCTGCACACATTAACAAGTATCCATGGATGTGAATCTGGGTGGAAGGAACTGCGACTCGTCGTTGAGTCGGAGACACAATGTCGGAAGATTTTGTGTAACACGCCTTCAGGAAGACGTCGGACGGGATTAAGGATTATTCTTGAGTGCCTCGTCATCCACTCAAGCAGATTGCGCTCCTGCACAAGAGATTTCAATTTTCTCTCCAGCTCTGGTATCAGGGAATCAAGCTCTGAAATCCTGTTAGATCCCGCCCTTAAAGTGGCTTCCATCGATGCTGATGGGGGTTGATTGCTATGCAAAAGGGCGATGATGGACGGATCTGGGGCAAGATGGAATGAGGAGGATCCATCGCATGTCATATGGCAGTTTGGACACGAGTGGGACATATCGACTACGAGTGGGATATTATTCGAAGGAACAAAACCGGATATGGATGCGGCGTAGATTGGATGATCTCCCAGGTGCCAAAGCGGCGGTCGACGACAAGTAAAGAGGAGAATGGACAAAATTCAATGGGTAAGGTCCAGCACGTTGTTTGTGGCAGGACGAAGGAAAGTTGTTCCGATATCCGACTCCCCACCACCGATTATCCTCTAACGGACACGAAGTTTGCGGCGGCTTTCCTCGTTGCGCAAAAACTGCCGAGTTGATATATCCTCTGCAATCACGCTACGAAGAAGAGTCAAGGAGTCAATATTATTAACCCACATGGAAGCGGTAATAGTACTAGAAAACTGGTAGCCGACAACGTGGCGTGGTGATGGCGGATCACTGGCATTTTCAAGGTCCGACGCGACTCAGTCTCCTACCACCATCATCGTACCGCTCGACACATTGCCCGGCTCGCCCATGGACAGCTTGTCGTTCAGTATCTCATTCCGTGACGCAGCTCTCAGTCCGTGATGTAGCGCTCAATCATTGAAAAGGAAAACTGATGATACGGACCTCACTGGAGAGGTGCGTCGGTCTGAGTATCGAGCATTCGAGAGATACTAAATGCAGCACTGCAGGTCTCATTCCTAAGCGATCTTTTATAGAATCCTCGGCAAATTTGGTACCCAAGGAGTCGAGGACGACGTATGATACAACGATATTGAACATGGTGACCAACGAACGACCCCAACCCCCAGTTCTACGCGCATAGAGCAAGATACCGCCTCAGCTGAAATTCACCATCTCATGGACGGTAGTGAATATCCGGCGCCTTCACCCCTTTACTAGTGGCTTCTCTTTCACTTTCCGAAGCGCATATAGTCGGGTTGTACGACATCTTTTAAGACGTCGTATATCGTCATGACACGGCACGGTACCGTCTCTTCTCCAGAAAGCGTCTCAAGAACACCGTTAGGGCCGAGGATTACTTTTTTCAGTGTTGTGGGTAGAGGGGTACGGATGATCGCCTGCTTCATGCACGGTACGCGCTTTTTCCTCCTTTTTTTCGACTGTATTCCATAATCATATTACAGGGTGTATATTTCCTCAATTCTGCGCCCGCACATACGACCTTTGCCTGCTGGTACACAATATCTGAGACGGTACCACGGTACCGCTTGCAAGTGTTCAGCCCGAATATTACGTGGTAGCAGAGCCGGAGGCTTGCTTATGAACTTGTACGTGCTGCGTTACTTTTGATATATTCGTTATTCACTGCGCCGTAGCCTGCAACGACATGGCCGCCTTACGAATTTTCATCTCACGGCCCGCTTGAACGATGGTTCACAAACCATGTTGGATCTGCTTTTACTATGCTGATTCATACGGACCCATGGAACTGCCGATTATTTGAAACGCTACTCGAACTCCCCGAATATATTCAAGCTATTATTTCTCCGGCAACCAGGGTATGATTTCCGTCCTTCTGCCTATGTATGCGAGTGTTAACGTCTAGACTAGATGCACCTCGAGATGAGGCGGGATGACTGCAGCTGTCGGTGAGGCTGACATGGAGAGGAAGGAGAGAACGTCTTTTTCCGGGAGACGAATGTCATGCTAGGACATATAAGTGCGTAGAGCCGACATGTTCAAGCCCATGGAACAGGTTCCGCCCTTAGTATCGGACGCTCTCATCCCCGAAGGGAAGTTGTCTCTGGGACGCACGCCGGGTTGAATTCTTCCCTTTCCCCACTTTCCATCGCTGCTTTCTCGTGTGCAGGAACGGTCAAAATCCGGATCACCTGTAAAACAACAGTGCGAGACGAAGCGCAGATGCCACCTGAAAACAGTCATAGGCAGCCAGTCACGAAGGAGGAGGCGATGTTGCGGTGGCAGACTGATATCAAGGTCTGACGGGACTCCGGCGTTTACTGCCTTCATCGCACTGTTGGCCTATCGCTTAGTTTTCTCTGGTGGGCTATCCAGTGTTCCGTACAGTACGCGGTACGGGCGTCGAATAGGTGAACCAGTCTGATTACTGAGGTTTTTCCTGAGATATTGATCATAATATTTGCAGATCTGCCTTCGAAGAGTGTTGTGAAATCGAAGCGGATGTACAAGGCAGTCCGCCATAATAAACCAGCGAACCTATCCAAAGCCCATTTCCATGTGCGAACACTGGTAGCAAAGGTATGATCTCTTCGTTCCTTGATTTCTCCATCCTTCAACGCAAATATCGCTAGGTTGCCTTCTTTTCAAATTGCATGTCCCCATCAGCAAGTGGTAGCATGCCTGCAGCTAAAAGTTCATTGTTTTAGGTGCGATTCTTCATGTTTTTTTTTTGTTTCTATTTTCATATCCGCTAATTGTACTACAGGTGACGCCCAACTACAGGCTAGTTCTATCATTTCAGCTTTATATTTCACTATCGAGGATTCACGTACGTCGTTCGTATTTCGCAATTACCATCCTCCTCATGTTCCTTTTACCAGCTGGTCCTTTTCGTCTACCAACAGCACATATAAACTTCCGATGACCACGGAATGAGGATTAGTCTTCGGTGATCATACGTGATTGTTGACGTTTATCAGATCCACCTCGTGCGACCCACATCTCTTTTCTGTTCGCACTGCTTGATTTCTCTGTCACACATACTGCTTACTCACCGGAATCTCCAAAGCTTACTTTTTATCCGGCTGGGAAACCTTTCGTGCTGCGCTTTGCTCCTTGGCTGAGCGCTCACGGGAACGCCATGCGTACATCTATTCACCGTCCGGATGGTTGTGCAGCGACGTATGCTTCAAACCCTCAATTCTATTGCAAGTCTCTTTCTGTTATCGGGAGCGTGGGATAGAGTACGCAACATTTCATGTATCCGCTGCTATGCAACCGACATTTTGGCTATTTAGTGACTATCGACTCTTGTCTCTCTAGTCTTGCACTCCTTTTAGGGTACTTTCATGTTGCTCTGCCGTCAGGGCATCTATAAATACTGCCTGCGCTGCATAGGCTAACGGCAGTTGGGAACATGCTATTCGCTATAAACTCCGACCTTACAACTACGCGATTCAGAAGCGCCACAAAGACTCCGATCTGATGGGGATCCTCAAATACATTCGCACCTGACAACGTATAAAGCAACAAGCTTGGACGACTCTTCATCACACCTCATCATGGCTCCCAGAACTCGTGAACAATGGGTCGCAGACCAGACCAGACCAATGCCCGCCGTCGCCACAGCCAACCTGAGTGGGAAGACACTCGTCCTAATTGGAGCCAATGCCGGACTCGGATTCGAAGCTGCGAAGCACTTCGCTAGAATGAACCCCGCAAGATTGGTGTTGACGGCAAGGGATGAAGCGAAGGGAAAGGATGCTCTCGCTCGTACGTTCTTCGCTTATCAGATCTGTGATGTCGACTGATCTTTATCATCGCAGGTGTTCAGAAAGAGACCGGCTACACCAAAGCGGAGTTATGGATCACTGACGTCGCCAATTTCAGCAGCGTCATCGCATTTGCTGATAGGGCTGAACGTGAGCTCGACCGATTGGATATCCTCGTAGAGAATGCTGGGATGGCAACTTGGGAGTACGAACAAGTGGAGGGTTGGGAGAAAACGTACGTACTCTGTGGCGTCTTCTGTGGGCGCAAGAGGGCTAACTGATTACTTAGCTTGCATACGAACAACCTTGGTCCCGGTCTACTCGCTATCCGTATGATCCCCAAGATGCTTGAGACGGCTCGCAAGCACTCCGTCGTCCCGAGATTGGTCATTGTTGCGAGCGACGTGCACTATTGGACGACGATAGAGAAGGATGTTATTGCTTCACCGAGGATACTCGTGAAGTTGTCATCCAAGGAGTATTGTACAAAAGAGTGCGTATGATCTCTCTTCCTCGTAGCACCTATGCTAACCTTTAAGCAGGGTCATGGATCACCGATACTTTGACTCCAAACGTTCGTAAAGTTCGTATTCATCTTCGTACCGACTAATCCTTGCGTCTTCGCAGTGCTCAACGTACTCTTTGCTCGATCCCTGCAGCTCCACGTCCCATCTTCCCCAGCAATAACCGTGAACTCCGTTAACCCCGGATTCTGTTTCTCCGGCCTCCGAACTAGTATCCCTGCCGAGGAGGCGGAAACTATGCGGAAGGAGGAAGAGCTTTGCTTCACTACCGAAGAAGGGAGCCGGCAACTCGTTTATGGTGCTGTTGGGTCACTAGATGACGAAGAGAAACTTCGTGGCAAGTACATCCAGATGTCCGAGGTCGTCGAGGAGAGCGATTTCGTGATCAGCGAAGATGGAAAGATTGTGCAAGACAAAGTCTGGGTGAGTAACTTTTGTTGTTCTGACAGTGGAATGGATTGTTGATGTCTTGTCCTTTAGGAGGAGATGCTGGATCTTTTGGGTAAAATCGATCCCAAGGTCTCCGAGGTGGCGAACTCTTATCTGAAGAAGATTTGATTGATGTTCATCGTTAAACGTTAAACATTTGAATGTACACTATCGTGACGAATATGCGAATGTTGAAAATTGATCATCGACATGGCGCTTGTTTCCGGCTACGGAACGATCAAGTCTTGACTCACTACGAGACCGATCATAGACATTGCCAAACTACTACTACGACCACCTCCTCCTCCATCCCCTCCTCTTCCTCCTCCCATGATGCCCTTGCTATGTCCCTGTCGTCAGTGTAATTGTCGCTTCGGGACCCAGGAGATGGTAGGGCAACTCGAAGCTCCTGAGTATACCGCTCGCTTCAACCACCTGCTGGCGACAAATGACGTCCCATTGGATGAAGAGATTCACAGCTTCGCAGCGATTTCTGCAGAAAAGGAGGAGCTGAGAAATAAAGTCAGACGCCAGATCACACATCTCAGAGACTCGACGGATTACTTGTTAGCTCTGCAAGAGAAGACAGAGTGGGAGACAGCGAACTACAACACCGTCAGAGCTCCTCTTCGACGTCTTCCCGACGACATGCTCTCCGAAATATTCTTTCAATGCGTGGACGAGATTGACATCCAGCAGAACATCGACCGGATTGGAAAGGAACAAGATGTTATCAGTTCTTTGGATTATCGCCGGGCACCGTGGCTTCTGACTAGGGTGTGCAAGCATTGGCGCGCCGTCGCTCTGTCTCATCCTCGTCTTTGGTCTATCATAAGCGTCAATACCCCCGGGGGCATATATGCCGGCAGCTTGACGCATATGCAAGCTTTGGAACTGCAACTCCAGCGCTCCGGTACATGCCCATTATCCGTGGCACTAAGGAGCACCACAACGCTCGCGTCCTCTCATACTCTACAGCTTCTCATTTCATCGTCGCCGCGCTGGAAGAAACTACTAACGGCGGTCCCGATACAAGCATACCGAGATCTCTGCAAGATAGAGGGCAACCTTCCTTTGTTGGAAGAATTCTATGGTCTCACAACCGTTGGTATTTATCAAATAAACAATGCGCCTGCTCTCGAATTCACCGGCCTCCGTGGCGCTCCCATACTCAAAAAGATTGCAGGCTCGCCGGGTATCTTGAGCCATATATCTCTACATACGCCTCGAATCACAGCAGCTGAGGTCCTCAGAGCGCGGGCGACGAGTCAAGAGCTTGTCGCAATTCTCGGTCGACTACCGTCACTCGAACGATCTTCCCTCATCTGCATGCCAGCCACGGAGAGTGGAGACCTTGAGGGTGCCAATGTGACGTTAGCTCACCTTCGACATCTATCCCTTCCAATGTCGACCAGTATCCTCGCAGGTCTCACGCTACCAGCGCTCACGACGTTGACTCTGAAGGGAGACATCTCCATCGATACCGTCCTCTCACATCTTCAGCGCTCCAGATCCACAGTTCGAGAGATAACCATCGCCTTGAATGATGTTGCTGAAGCAGATTGCACTCACCTGCTCAATGAACTCTCGTCTCTCGAGGTGGTTGTAGTGCTTACAAAATACGCTCATACCCCCGCGTTCATCCAAGGGCTATTTGAGACTTCGGGCCGTTTTACAGCGCTACGTAGGCTCACGTTGAAGGGAATAGAAACTATCGATCCGGCCAGCCTTGCTCATGTCAAGGATGTGCACCCCGGTCTTGTTATAACTGGATAGACCGTAGACAGTCGTTTCGAAAGATTGATGACATATCATTACGGTCGATAGTTACTTAGTTTAAAAACTTGCTGTCAAGTTTTCCCTATTGTTTATGGGACCATTTCACTGCGAGTGCGACTACAGTTCAAAGACATCGTCACATGTTATTTGTTACGATTATAGGGTAGCGTAGTACAAGTTGTACGTAGTTAGTTGAGTAATCGTGAATGCGTTAAGTTCTCTTGACCTAAAAGGATCCGACGAGCGCTAAGCGTAGCTGGCGAGTATTGAAGTCAGAAAACGCTGAGCGTAGCTGACTGGAATCTCAGAGTTCACACGATGTGGATTCAAGTAGGTAAAGAAGATGATCATTTCGTAGCTAGACCAATGTTTATATACTAGGGAAAGCTACGAAAAAGGTTATAGTAGTACAGACTTTTCAGGAATCTTCTGCGGGTTTCTGGTATTTTCAGGTAAGTAAAAGTATGTATGGAATATCAGAGAAACTAAGGGAAAACGTCGAGTCCTTGTTTAGGCGTCGGAAGGCTTAGTAAGGCCGGATAGGGTGTATCCATAACATTATTGGCCACTCCAGCTCCGCTCAGGATCACATCATGCGAAGAACAGCATCGACCTCACACCACCACGTTGAAAATTTTTACCGCGTCTGAAACATCCAAATTATTCCTTTGGCTTGATGCGGCTAACAAGAACATCAGGAGTTATCCAGACCAAGTCTTGCGGTGCTTGGAGAACGGAAGACAACTATTGCAATCAGCCGTCGACGAACAGATCCAAATGTATGCTCTTTCTGCGTATATTGACGATATTGCTGACTTACGCAAACCCAGATCTCCATCTACAACGTACGCAGCTATTCTGAATGATTTGCATGTCGCTGATTGTCTGCTAGGCATGCCTTGATCGCAGGCGGAAACCACCCGTAAGAGATAAATCTTTTGGTCTCTTCAATTATCCATTTCTCTTATTTAGGTTCCATCCTGCATCCGACTTACTCTTTCACCATCAGAACTCCGACGTCGAAGTGATAGGCTCTCAAACCAACAAAGCAAATCTCCCAAAGGGCTTAAGTGATTTACAGATCGGTCTGTACCGTTACGCCCTCCTTGCGTGCGTAGGAAATCTCTGGAAGGATAAACGCGTCTCTTCAACCGAATCTGGAATTTCTCTTCCCATCCCAAAAGCCATTCACGAAGGTGAAGAGTGAGATCATGTTGTTAATCTTGGTCACGGTGGTTTTGGTGTTGTTCACACATACCGAAATAAGGGGGAAGAACGGTACGTAGCGGGAAAGAAGATACTCACCCATTATGGTATCGAGCAAGCGGAAAGAGAACGTTCAATTCTGGCGCAAGTTGATCACATCCACGTAGTTCGATTTCTGGGGTATGTTTCAATGTTCTACATTTGATACCAAGGGCTAACTTGCTTTGCATAGATCGTATTTTGACCAACGGACAAGCGAGTTCTGTGTCTATACGGGTTACGTCCCCGGCGGAACGCTTGCATCATGCCAGTTACTCGAAGCAGATGTGAAAGTACTAATCCGTCAGGTCCTGGATGGTCTTATCTTCCTACATCGTCAGAATATCGTGCAACGTGACATCAAGGGATCCAATTTGTTCATCACAGTCGACGGCTGCGTCAAATTCGGAGACCTTGGTTGTGCAACTGTTATCGATCTAAGTACGTGCCTGAAGTTCAATGAAGAATATTAACATGTACTTGCATGCTGTCGTATAGCACGGAAGCTGCTTTCTCGCTCCGCCACCCCTTGTTTCATGTCTCCGGAATTGTTATTCACTGATCATTATGATGAGAAGACTGACATTTGGAGTTTGGGCATGGTGATTATTGAACTGTTGAAGCAGAGGCACCCTTGGGCGAGGAACAAACCTGCTCGTATTGTTGTAATGGTATCCGTATATTTACTTTAGTTCCGTTTTCCGGGCTTATCTGTTATCGCGTACCAGATGCATGAGCGCGATCAACACCTACCGACGCTGCTCAGAGGGATCACTTCTGAATCGATCAAATCTATTCTGGGAAAAATCTTCGTAGATCAAGGAGCCAGACCTTCCGCTCTCCAGTTGGTGAACGACAAGTGGTTCTCAATTGCTTAAAGGATGCCGGATTGAGTAGCTTGTAATCACAGTAGGTATCCCATTCCGGTTCCGGAAGCTATGTCAGTAGACGAGGTTAAACAGCTCCAGATGGCGACTCGGAGGAAGATCGACCCAATAGATTTCAGGCGCAGCATGCGCAAGACTACTGATGACTGGAACTGAGGAGTAATGACCAAAGGTACTAACCGGGCGTCGATATGCAGGCTAGCGCACGGAAATTCGAATTTCACTGACAGTCTCGCCTCGGAGCGAAGAGGTTGCGGAAGTTCGGAACGGAATCCCGGCTGCATCAAGGGTATTACAGCGCCAACTGTATTCACCGAATGTCCTCGTAATGATTTCAGTGTGAGATATACAGAAAGGAGAAGTAGACAATCAGGAAATTGAAAGTCGAGAGAATACGTTGGATTAGCAACTTTCGTCTCTAACAAACCAAACACCCCAGACCCCGCTGAAAATACCCTGAGCACGAGCATCAGCAAGGAATAAGGAATGATAAAGTACATCCGGCTTACCCTGTGGTCACAACTATCCGGCTGGTCGAAGTGATGGCCATCGTAGTCCGCGGGAGTGGTAGAACACATTTCTCGCCAATTATCCCATGGCGGTTGGTGGTTACCCATGTGGGCTTCAATGCGCTACCAGGGACATCAGAGAATTAGGATATTTGAGGCGCAAATGGACATACGCGAGTCTTCGAGCCAGTCGCCACGCACCCCTGCAGATTCCATGAAATCGTGGAGCATAGAAGAACTAAAAGTGATACGTACCTTATCCTGAAAGTTTTCCCACAGCGTTTTGCAACTCGGCTCGTTCGAATCAACCGTCCAATGGCCGTAAATCCGAGGCTTCGTGGGCGCCTAAGAGAAGATCAGAAGATACACCATCCCGAATGTGACAGCAGGCTCACCGAATTATCGACGTCAACAGTACAATACCCTGGCTGCTTGATGTTGATGCCGTGAATGATAATCCCCTTCTCTTTACACAACCGCAAGCCACCTTCGCCTCTGGGCACGCCCATCAACTGAGCGGAATACTCTCTCGTGTCAAAATGGAGACAGCGTTTTGATGGGGTTAGGTCAGCCCATGCGAGACCATCGAGTGTGAGCTGGTGCTTTTTATCCTTCACAGATCGGATGTGGAAGTGAAGAGTGAGTGCGAAGACGCAAATTACGAAGAAAATTATAGCCCGAAGAGATCTCCTGTAACTGATAATGAGAAATTGATAAGAAGGGGAGTCCTGAGACTCACTTTGAAGACGATCGCGACACATGGGTTCTAAGGTGATCACTATTGCTTAGTTAATGAGGGTGGGGATAACAAATGATTTCTCACAAAGTGGATGGATGAGAAATGGGTACAGAATTCGGATTGGCTATACAGAATAGAACCATAAGAACGCGGTATCAAATAAAAAAGCAGTAGCATACCGGAATACAAAAGACGGTTCTCGCTCGTGTTCACTGCTCCATGTTCAACATCACTACTATACGGTGGTGGGGGTGCTATCGGAGAGCTTGAAGAAATTGCATATGAGCTCGACTCTTGCGGTAGTCGTGACGGCTGCACGTCGTCGCCACTGTCCTTGTTGCTGTCAGTCATGGTGATGGTAGAGACGACGCCATGGCAGTGCTGGTTTGGGGTTCCGCTTTTGGATTTCGGAATTATGGCCCGAAACGAACCGGTGTACCGTGCGGTTCTCGACACTCCTTATTCTGAACGATAATACGCACAAGAAGATCTTCAGCTATGGAGCCGAACTGAATCCTCGAGATGACGTGAGATCTGCTGGAGAAAAGAAAGTGTTGCTTTTGTACCCAGCTACCATGTGGATGTAGATGCCGCCTTCGCTCTACTTAAACAAAGGGGAATCCCGCATAGGCGGTGTCGGCAGTGAGTGATGATCACTCTGGTCTTCGTTTGCGACTATCATCCACGAGGCCATCCTTCAGGTCTTGATGAAGTGGCTATACGCGGCTCATTAGACGGGTCAAAACATATTGAAAATGAGACGAACTAGCTCACAGTGATAGTGCTACCATTGCCTTTCACTGTCCATCCTTGTTGAGATATACATCATTGTTCATGAGCGACGTTTGCGATGGGTAAGCGAGATCAACTAGACCGTTATATCCAATGCTTGTAAAACTTCGTGGTCGCCTTGAGGTAACTTAGGTCAGTTGGCGCAGTATCCTAAGCATGACACTCACTTCACCAAGCAAGAATAATGCTGCTCGAAGGTATTATCCTGTATTCAAATCAGATTTTATACAATAGAGGATCTGTAATCTTCACCGATATTCTCCACAATCTTAATGAGTGATTGCAGGAAGATGAGTCGGGAAATATCCTAGCACCATCCGCATGGGGCCTTCGTGTTCACGCTCTATACCATAGTTCGTAAGTCAAAGGAAGAGTATCGCAGCGAGAAAGCCACGTATACTTATGAGAGACTGTCTAGAGACGTTATGCAAGCACAACAGGACACATCCAGAGGGGAATGTAGGTTGGAAGGGCTAAAGTCACGAGCATCATCCTCGCATGGGTATCAGATAATCACCTCACTAGGACTGCTGACTTGTAAGCGCTCGGCTTGGGCGTCAAAGTTTTTAAGAATGTCAGATTAACACCGTTAGCAACCGGGCAGTTGCTGGGGTTTATTCAGAAACTGTGAGCAATGTTCGAAAGGGAAGACAAAGGGAATGCACCTGCATCATACCGAAGGAACATTGTTTCTCAGCCATAATCTGCCGAGACCCTGTTGTATGGGCCTCATTAAGTAAGAGTGAAGAACTCGCAGGTACAGTCGAGGTGGTTCGCCAGATGCTGATGTCAGAGAAATGGACCGTTGACGTTACATTCCTATCGTACGCGTGCATGTAGTGGATCAAAACGAACGCTTTTTCTATCGTACACCAACGAGAATTGAACTTTGCAACAGTGTGCAAAAATCAGTAACAGAAACCCTTCTGTACGTTCGCAAAATCTGACTATATGCGCTATTAGGTGATCCCTGGCCTGCAAAAGCAATAGACGTACATTTCACGGGATATCAACATGGCGATTCTAGTGCATCTACCCTTCCATTACATCGAGTATTTGCGATGCTTGAAGCTTGTTATTGAGCATTGTCCTAGTATCATTACATTCAAACGGTGCGAGCATGAACTTTACCTGAAAATTCGATCAGTGCGGCACTTCCTTCATTTCAGATGTTCATATTACAGGTCCTGGTGGAGACTACCATGCCTTCAACACTTGTCGTTGCTATCAGAGAAAATCATGATGGAAGTAAAACTTAAAGGAAGAGTTATAGGAACCCGCCGGATGTTCGGATCGGAACTCCGAGGATCATCACGTAGTGGTGGCCTCTGAGTGGGGAGGATAAGCTGAAACGATCCAGTTTCCGATGGAGTGAAGAACATAGTGTGGGTAAGTCTAGCGTGTATGAAGGATAGACGAGGCGACACCTGAAATAAAGCTGAGACTGGACTAGGAAAGTCATCGGCACGTCCACATTACCGAGAATGATGAGCCTGCAGAGTAGTATAGGGTACGCTAGAAGGCGTAGTGGTGGTTGTTGAACAAAAATAGAAGTACGGTCTGATGAAATTGTTGAACGCGATGGAAAGACTCTGAGAGAAATATCGTCAGACATAAAATGAAGACGAAGAACACTGACCATTCGTGTGATATATCACTGAACCCAACCCAAGGCGTCGACCAGCATTTCGTAATGCAGAGTCCCGTCTTAGGATAATGGCATGTTCATAAAACAATAATATCAGAATTCGGCTAAAATTCCTAAGATGAGGATCAGAGATAATAACTCGGTATGAAAAGAAGAATACGCACCATAACCCAAAGCCTGCCTACAAGAACCTAGTTTCTCTCACCTATGCACTCGGATCATCCTCATCCAAACTGGATGATAGCACCGGCAATGAGAAAGTGCACCAGAGATGAAAGGATAGCTGAGACTATCTCATGGCCTTCGTCTATGTGGAAAAGTTTGTGTCGGTCAGGTCGAAGTGTCAGCTACATCGAATTTCTCAAATATTTTTCGGCTGGAAAAATATGACAAATGATATTGGCTAGCAGAGCTCATACTTAGAAAATAACTGACATTTCATTATGGCAAGAAAACATACCCAGAGCGCCCTCGACAGGTTAGTTGATTGGTCTCACTCGCACAAGTTCAGCGAGATGCGGCACTTTGGCTTATCATAGTAAGCGCGTATTTGTCGACTTGATCCAGAATTAACAAATGGACTAGATTACATCGTATCACCTAGAAATGTGATGGCAGCGGAGAAGAAAAGTCGGACTTACAATTTCAAATCAGGGCGGTTCATGATCCGGGCCGGATGCCGGTTCTCTCCTCTACCCTTCCCCGACGCAGCAGGATCACTTCCTAGGAAACGTTACGCGTCGTTCCATAACACCAATGTCTATAGTTCTCTTCCCTCTGACAGTGTGAACACTAATGCCGCTATATCCACAGATGAGAATACAATCCCTGGTACGCATCACACTGTACTGTACCACTGCGATGGCAGCTAGACCGAGAACACAGTTCTCGGAAGGTTTGTGTTGCAAGGCTGGTACACATTTCTCTCCTACCTTGCTTGGTTATTGGTCGTTGTCATTCAGATTATATTATGGGCTGCATGTATGCAAATCTCTGCTACCGGACACATTGCTGCAGTGTAATATCAAGCACCATGTGGTAGTCTAGTATTTTGTCCGGATAGTCGTTCTGTTCTCGTGCAATTTGGAGCAAATTTGACCATCATTCGATAACGTCTAACACTCCGAAACACCGCCAATGCCTCGGAATAGATTTCCTACCAGTCTAGATGAACGACGCTTCTTGCAGTTTGAAGGAATACTGTAAAATTCGTTATGGACCACAACCTGCCAGGACGGTCAGTTATTCCTTTCTCTTTCATCTCCGATACCCCACTGATGACGTCTCTTGGACTAGGTATCGACTTCGCCACAAGGATTTCCCTTGGACTAGACGACTACCAAGCTACGTTCACCTCTTCCTTTTACTGTCAATGAATACACCCTCTGACCATCTCGCTGCTTGCATGCCACTCACGTCAAGCCGGCTTACACTCGCTGGACTCCAACCAAGAATTTCCGGGCAGCTTAACCAAGGCTCGAGGACGGTGATCTTCTGCGAAAAAACTTATCCGTGCCTTGGTTAACTCGCTACTGACCTACAAAGACGAGCTCTTTGCCACCGTTCTCTCCAGCACAACACTTCTCTGATTAAATGTTCATTGGTCCTCTTGTTCCTGCGAAATGCTGATTCACCCTTCTGAGCAGATCTCGTTTTGCTGAAGAAAAAACGCTGAACAACTCGTAGGAGAGCCGCCGTTTCGAGTCCGAGTTTGGCAAAGGAAGCACATCGAGGTTTAACCATAAGCCATAACGCCTAGAGTTGTAACATATGTCGTTCCAAGTTCCAGGAGTTTTCGGCGAAACTTGGATTCGATGACATTATTATCAACTGACTCATCAGAATGATGAGACCCCGCAAATTGAAGGTTGTGTGGTGGATTGATCTCTACATTGCGGAAGTTGTATTGCATCAACACTCCAAAGACCAGGCTTCGAGTATCGCCAATATACACAGATGACTGTCTTTGATTGTATGTGGACTATCAGGATATCTTGAGACATATGTGCATAAAGTTTAAAAGAGCGAACATAGAACTTGGAGACGCAACATTTCCATAACGGTCGCTAATTTCTATCAAAAAGTACAGGATATGTACTTACATTAAACCAGAATATTGACGCACTTTTCTCCGCCAAGTTATTGATCATATCTTCTGTCATATCATCTACCATTTGGAAAACCGAAACTTTCTCAAATCTGTCGTCTGACAGTCTTCGCCCAACCACCCATCCTTTCCAACAGTGTGATGAATAATTCATAGATTCCTCAGATCCGATCAGCGTGTACATGTCTTCAGGTATAGGGTACTGGTGCCTTGCAATGATGTTGAATACACGCTTTGTCCCATACATGTCTTCAACATGCAACCTCCCATGTCGATCAGCTCCTGGCACACCTTCCACAGCCAGCCCCTGCACGAACCCTTTTTCAATGCAGAGCGCTGCCTCACATTCATCATCCTTCCCTTTCCGATGAATAGCTGTAAAATAGTGCTCATCCCTTGGCAATGGCTTTGTCATGACCTGGTCCCACGATGGTCGCCATTTTGTGCCTGCATCTCCTGGTTCAGGATACTGGAAGAACAGAAACCCTCGTTTGATGGACATGATTGTATTCACCAAGGCTGTCCATGCATCCCCAGGAGACTGGTGCTCATAGTATGCCGGTATCGTGTAGGGCCCCAGAAGGAATGCCATCCCCGCAATTTTATCCACTGGGTTTGTTGACACCTGACACCGCATCTCCTCCAGCATTTCGAATATTTCGTGCAAAATTTGCCTCATGTCCCGTATCTGCTGGCGAAATGTCGTCAGAGTTTCGGTCTCGTAGTTACCGTTCTTGTCCGGCTTCGCATTCAGTGGCCCATCCGGCGTAACTCCGCAGATTGTCCTCCCGTAGCCGACTTCCTGCAGTGTCCACGCGCGATTAAACCAACTGCGATCATTGTCAAAGTAACCTTCCATCACACTCAGTGGGCGCCCCAGCCCACTCAGATAACAGAACACGTCCACATCCCCATATGTCTGTCCGATGGTAGGCACATCCAGCTTCCACTCCTCTGCACGCAAATACTCCCTCAGCCCCCCTTTCTGCCTCAAACAGAGGACATCTAACCACACATACTCCCGGCCCAGATTCAGCATCTCAATGCGGATTAGGTTGAGGTTCGTTCCCCTTGGGATGGGCACGGGCCATTCGTGTCCGTTGATGGGCGTCCACACATCCACGCGATCCCCATCGCCCACCCAAGCATGTGATATCGGGTCTGGATATTCTGATCGACCGATCCACGTTGGCACGACTCAATTACTGTACAGATCCCAGGCACGCCGAGGGCATGTGTTAGGTTCCACAACACAGTTTCCATCCAGTGCGTTTCGTCGCATCTTGCGGTCCTTCCTGTCACATTTGCGTAGCTCTCCTGGGATGATACTCCAATCATCAGTGTACCATACCCTACGGAGACAGCTGTACGCGGTGCCAAAGTCATAATTCTTCCAGATGCACACTTCAAGAACGGAGGAGAGGGATGGGGTTTCTAGGGAGTGTGATGTTCCGAGGGTGGTATTTAGTCGCTCCAGGAGACCCCGAGTGCCGAGGGTGGTACAGGGTGTGTTAGCGAGAGAGGCCGATATCACAGGCTTTGCACCAGTGTACTTCCGCTGTAATGGAACAACGATCTCCTCCTCCGCCTGGTTGATCTCTGTGCTCGCAGAGATTGTAACCTCTGGGAGCTTCGCATACTTCAGACGCACCAGAAATGTGTTATTGAGTGTCATTTTACTCACTTATGATGTACTTACTGCTTCATCCCGCCGACGATCCCTAGCTTCTCGGCAATTCCAAGGGACTGTAGATTTTTGTTGGTTAGAAATGTGTTTGAAACATAGAAAACGGAAGGAATACACACTCCACTTCCAAGGATGTCTTGGTGAAGTATCATCCATACTTCGATCGGCGTATCAGCCGGTGTGAAGGTGTGCAACAACCTTGATCGACAAAAGTGGGTATCAGAGTTATGCGGTCCTCACGTAAGGCCTTCAATTCCCACGACTTTCTAATGCCTCATCCATAGATCCGCCATCCGAAGGCTGTGGGACGGTTGCGGATGAAGAGACAAATATAAATTGCTGTACGTCACTTAGTATACTTCATCTCATGAGTGAATTCAAAGACATCGAAAGACCCCCTTCGGTTTTGGCCATTCTCAATGCTCGCCGAGAGTTCCAAGCACAAAAGCTTTATATTCTCTTCTTGTTATTGGCTCCTCTTACGCACTGGAACTGCACGTAAAGCAGGAGTCTTTCAGAAGCTGTGATGAAGATCCACCGCCTACATCGGCGATATGCTCTCTCCGGCCCAAGTATCCGCACAGCTTGGGCCCAAATTAACGAAGACATTGTCCGAAGAATACTGTTCTCGCTGAGATTTCAGAGGGTTCGGACTGAACTATATCTTCGCTACTGCGTTGTAGATGTACTCGTGAGGGCTAATCATCTACGACAGGTTTTTTGACGAAACAAGTGCATGCTACAACCTTCGGCATAAGCACCCAGCATTAAATAAAACTTTTAGCGCTGCCAATGGGATTCCCCAATTACACCTGAGGCCCGGTAGGAAACAATGCTTCCATTCAATACGTAGAGTCACACGTTGACGTACGAAGAAGACTGCATTAATGAACCGCCGACGAGTGTGATAAGACACCATTGATCCAAGAAGACTCGAATATGAGACTACGCAGTGAACTCGCAGCAGGTAGATTAGGTGCGAGTGAGGGAGGGAGGAATAAAGCTTTGATGAAGGAAAACAAAGTTGTCGAAAATAAGGCAGGCAGGGGGGAAGGATAGGCTGAAAGTAACGTATGTCGCAACAACGGCTCCCACAGTGAGATCGATAACATTGATCTGTTCATAGGACAATGCTGATAGGATTTTGTACAGCCCGTGATTCCTCAGGGGAGGCAAATGTTAAAAATAGACATGTAAGATGCCCGGAGCATCCGAATTTAACGAGCACAAATGCGATGACCGGCAGTTCTGAACCAGCAAGAGGCAAGGTGTCGATTGGAGTCTCGAAATAATGTCGACGAGTCCTAGTCATGGATCGCCGGGGCTTTTAACAGTGATATGCATAGTCATTTTTAGAGACATGACCACATGTGAGTCGTTCTATAAATAATTGATAATCAGCCGAGTCTTCGCTTCGCCGTCCCTCGTGTCGTACAAAGCTACGCAAGTTCATTCATTACAGAACAAAAATCACTCACAAGTTCGGAAGATGAATGAATATGTCGATGTGTACTGCGAGATGTGATGATAACATCACGCCGTATCACCATGATTCAGCGACGAGACTATGATGCCACCGTCTCCGAAGCTGCGAACGTCATCACATTATCCACATGGTGTTCAAGGAGCCGAGGAAGCTTCGAGAGGATACGAAGTTAAGAACAGGTGGCCCTGATATACGAGATAAACGTACTTGTGGCCTTCCTTCCAGACAGAAGATACCTATTAATGTGATTAGAGACAGAATCACAGCGGAGGGCTAATTTCCGTACCTGCTACTCGGGCATATTGCCACACTGAAATGCCTCAAACACCTCCGATCTGCCCTTGTATTCGAACAAAAGTTCCTGGTCGAGATCGTGGAACATGGGTTTGTGTGGAATACACCGTGTTAGCTCGCTCGTAGCCGAATATATCTCATATCAGTTGTCTGTAAGGGAACAAGGAGTTCAAAACGATAGACCATGAACAAAGAAATCGCTCGCCGGAATCGGCTGCTGTTTTAGGGCAACAGGATCCGATCTTCCCTAAGAGGCTGGCAGTATTCCCATTTTCCGCAGAGAGTATGACGTGCGGACGGACATTCAGAGCGAAGGTTTCCTGCAAAGAATGGACCCCCATAGCATACACACAAGACTATCAGCAAGAGAAGTGATGAGTGTATAGCTATGCATCACTCAGCGTGAGCCAATTGTTTACTGTACGGACGTGCTCAACGAACAGCGAAGGATTATCTGCGGGATAGTGTAAGTCACGAGTCCTAGCAGACAGACAAGGAGAACTAACAGATAGCTTCTACCTCTCGTGTTCCCTCTTGTATTAGTAAACGTTTTCGAAAGCCCAACGAGCGCGATCTTTCATTTAAATGGCATAGATGAAGCTAGTTTGTGTGCGCAGAGACTTAAGGGCGTAGCTTCACTGGGTATCGAGACGAGTGGCATGCAAAGCTACTGAGAACGAATCGTGGTATCCTCGGCTTCAATAAAGTGAGAACTTCAAAAGAATGAACGTATCAGAGAAAGACAATAAGAAACGGGGGACAGGCGCACCTCGTATATGTTCCCCATTGCATAGCTACATCTGGATAAGGTATTAGGTACGCTATTCTTTCGATTTTTTATACCGCTATCTGGAACAGAGGTTGTATCGGAGGGATCTCCATAGATCCAGAGAATCATGCTCGTTTCCTTGACACTGCAAGAAAGAAGGAAAGACTTTATGGGAGTGGAAGATAGAGCCGTCAGCACTTGGTTATTGTCTCTTCACGTTGAGCTTACCTACAGCAGATAAATATATCTCCAAGATGTTGTTACATAAATTTCTTCTCCACGGCTGGGATCAGATTTATCTGTTTTGTTGACCTTCTCCACGGTTTGAGTGTCTATCGACTGGGACAGGAAAGCACGATAACTGCAAAAAGACGAAGATCGTCAATGCAGCCAATTACGAGAGATAAACGTACACACCGTTTCAGATCCGTCGCAAAGCACGAGCTGTTGAGCATCGACTCAGCCGAGTTGCTCGCAAGAACGTCGAAGTCTGTGCAGGTCGGCTTTGTGTCATGGTAAAAAGCTGTGTGCCGGGCCGAAAGATCCGAGCCGTGCTTCCATTTGCCTCCGACACCTCCTTTGCACCTCCTTCCCTTTTACGAAGACCATCTCATTCTTTTCCTCTTGTTTTCCTCTCCTCATTTGTACGACGGCCTCACTCTCAGAAATTGTCGACATCCTCAAGTAAATACTCTCTGATTCCCAAGACCTTGCTCGTCTGCTCCTGTCTTGGCCGCCTTGAAATTGAAGATTTCCTTGGAAGAAAACATACGCAGACCAGCACCCCCAGCTCGTGCCGGTGATACTTTGAAAAATCTCATACTACTTTTACTTGGAAAGAGCTAGCTGCTAGATGAGTCATTCGAGGGATTTACGCGTACACATGGCCCCGTGGAAACATCAAGAACATCGCATGGCTTGTCGAAGCGGCACGAAAATACCGTCTGTGAAAGCCAAGCACCGCAAACGTCGATTATGAGCTCAATGCTTCTCAGTACTAACCTTGGCATCAGAAGACAGGTATTCATGTGTTGCAGTATCACCGTGACCAGTGCTGTCCGTGCGTGACCGTCTGACAGTACCATATTCTCTTGCTGCAGTCCAACTGGCGGAAGCTCTTGGGTCTACGAGGCTCGTCACTATGCAGCTGATTTTTTTTTTCGCGTCATTAGACATTCTTCACTATCCATACCGTCGTCACTGGAGCATTAACCTGAACGAGGCAGCGCTGAGAGATCGTCGCAGTCATGGCTATTCATTGGATGCAACAGGGCGACAACGAAAAGGCTGAATTTGTGGTTCTGGAATGCCGGGGTTTATCGAACTTCTTGCATCCAAGGATGTACCGTTCCATTTCGTTTGTCCTTGGCACCGCTCTCGACCGTCGCACACAACTCTCTGTCCATGGGAATATCGTTTATTTTGGCATATGGTCCCCCATCCAAAAGCCATATATAATCCTACAGAAATCCTCATCGTCTCGCCACAACGTGAACGACATGAAGCTCGCATTCTCCACTGCATTATTCACCGCTCTCTTCACTGCAGCCTCTGCGACTCCAGCTACTAAACGCGACATCTACACGCCGCCTGTCTTGTCCCCAACCACGGGTAAAACTTGGCTGGTAGAGACGACTCAAACCGTCTCTTGGGATACATCCAACCCTCCCGATCTCATCAGCAATCGGAATGAAAGCAGAATCGTGCTGACCAAGGGCGGGTTTTTCTTGCCTTGTACGTCCCTCCTCTTGATTTTTGCCTGGTTATTGATTGCAAATACAGATATTTTGGCGGACCGGTTCGATATTTTGTTGGGAAGCATCGAGGTTAAGGTTCCGTTGGTTGCTGAGGGGGATGATTATGCCGTAGTTCGTGAGTATTTTTCCCTATCGATTCGTATGGTTGACATTGATGAGGGTTCACGTTCAGTCTTTGGTGACTCGGGTAACTTTGGGAAGCAGTTTAGCATCAAGGGTGGTCCCGCCAATTAAACATCGCAGACTGTAGTTTGATATTCTTCATGGTTAAATCTTTTCTTTGCGTTTTGTCGTCCTTCGACGCTCTTCTGCACTCATAAGCTAAATGTACAGGTCCGGATCCAACCTGCCAACGAAAGAAATGATGTTCAACCAAAATACGGCTGTCAGCAGGTAAACATCAACAAGTTGTTTAACCTGTTTAAACGTGGATTAGATTTCGGCATTATTTCAGCATATATTTGGGTCTCGTTCTCCTTCGTCAAATTTCAAACAACCCCGCTCACGATCTACAGGCAGTATATTAGTGCTAGAACTCCACCGTTGCCATTGGGCACCTGAAAAAAAGGAACAGCCGGGGATCTTCGGTGTTCCGGTCCGATGTACCGAGTCCAACGCGACTCTTCCTCGTACTTCCATCATCTAATCCTGCAGTTCGTATTTTTCTTCCTCTGACTGCCGCTCCTTATCGTGATATTTCAGCTTAAAGATAAGCACGAAAACCAGAATGGAAAATCCTCTTATAGGCTATTTGCCGAGCTTACTTGAATTGGACTAAAATGTTAGTATGTCCAGGGCGATTTCACCAATACATTGCGCCTTCGGCGAGACGTGTACAAGGGACCGAAGATATAATCGTCGATTTCCAGACTCAAAACAATATACTGCGGCTGAAGTGAGTACCATCCTGCTCGAGGCTTGCTAACAGGTCTAATTCTCGCACCATTAGGATGCAGCGACCGTAGAAAAATACTCAATAGCGGGGAATGTTTGTCACGAGTGTTTGACGTAGAAAACGTTCAGCGAAGGCGCACAGTATCTCTGTGATGACTATTCTTTGTGATGGTACGTGACCTGTTTTGTGGGCTGGACTGAGTGTGACCAGATTTTATTAACGTACAGAACAGATTGATTTATTGCGATCCCAGGAGAAGCAAGAATCTGTCGTCCAACTTACAAAAGCCTCTAACCGAAAAGCAACAGCGAGAACCATTTCTTTGTCGTCAGTATTTGGCAGATGGACCTTATCATACGTCAATCTCAAACCTGTTCACTTCGCAATAAACTAATAAAGCACCTCTATCTAAGCGTCAGGACGTCCTCGTACTTTCAGAAAGTCGAGGATCCACAGAGATGACTGGGAGCCGAAGTACTGCGGGTATCTCCTCTTCCTCCTCTACTCCGAACTTTAATCATCGCCGCTAATCAGAGTGGATGACCTGTGGACGACTGTCTTCAATTTGTTCCGAAATTTCTGATACCCACGGACTTAAAGAAGAGGAAAGCTATCAGCCGAGTAATTCCCAGGCACCGGTGTGTCAAAGAACATCGTCGGAGACCTACATGACGCGGTCTTGAATTCATCGGCCCTTGGACTTCCCTACCGGACAGTGCTGCTCGTATTAACATTTTGTTCGCGCGGATGGATATTAGCTCAGAGGCTAAAATCGTAGGTACGTGTCTCGTTTTTAGCCGGCATGAGAATCAAGCCTCATGATGCTTTTAGCCGGATTCCGTAAACATATAGAACAAGCGCCGGCACCAGAACTTCGAAAGGCCGCTCTCTCTGTTGTCATTATCGGTTCGCTGATCATGACTTAAAGTATAATAATACTGCGCCCGATTCCTGCTGGAGTAGTCAGGCCACACAAGTCAGTATCCCGACGTAAATCTAATATGAAGAGGAAAAAGCAGAGATCCAAAAAGTAGTAGGCTGAAGCTGCTTCCAGGAATAGAAAATTGTATTCGAATTGTGGACGCAGTGACTGGGACGAGGAAAGGTCGGATAAAAGGGCGGAGAATTTTGGGTTTTTGAAGAGGCGAAGTCGAAGCATTAGCCTGTCGAGGAGCTAAGCCTTGTGATGATGATGCTTGGGTGAATTAGACGCGTTTTCGGTCCTTGATGCTCTTAATGATATGTCTTGTAGGCTATATTTGACGTCCTTTCTGTATTATAAGGAATCTTCTCCCTGTCGTACACGTTGCCTTCAACTGCAGCGTATTTATCCTAAGATGTACTTAATGATAGCCGTCGTTTGTTTTAATGGGGCTCGCGATCAACACTTACCGGCGTTGCTCGAGGGGTTCACCTATGAATCAGTTAAATCGATTCTGGGAAAGAGTTTCATAGATCAAGGCAGACCTTCCGCTCGCTAACTGGAGCCGCTCACCAGTTAGCGAACGACGAGAGGTTCTTAACTGCCTAGAGGATGTCAGTTTGAGGGTTCAGTGGGATGTATTTCCACCGTGCATTGTTGAGCACAATATTTAGAAGACAATTTGTGTTCTGTTATATTTTGCGATGAGGCTACTGAGTGTTTCGCGATTGCTCCAACTGCTCATTTTCGATAATAATAACAATAAAAATGTACAGGGATGACTATAGCGCATCTACCATCTGCATGTCATGCTGAAATGTAATAATATCATAGTCCTTGACACCGCATGTGCTCCGTATATAGTCGCTGAGATGCAGCGGATACCTGACTTCACCTTGCTCACCGGCCCAGTCAAAATCAACGATCCTCATCCTCTCCCCTTCATCTCCCGCACCATCAACGATCACAATATTTGGCGTGCGAATGTCGCCATGAACGAATGACTGATCGTGAAGAATCCGAACGGCACCTCGAACCGCTTCGCGCAGCGTCTCCGGAATGCTCCCTTCATACTTTTGTGCCACCGTCTGGCCGGGGAGGAACTCCATTACGACCATTTGAAGGGAGCCATACCAGTACTTGCTATTGTTGGAAATCGGACCGCAATACTTTGGTGCTGGCGCCTTCCCTTTACTCGCTAATAGCCGGTGGGCCTCGGCACCGTATCGCTGAACGAACTTCACGACAACCTGCTCCTCTCCATGCGCCTCGTCGATCTGCGCCAGAAACGTCATGCACGTCTCATCTATTTCCAAGGGCTGCAGGTATTGGAATCCGACGACGTTCGTTCCGTCGTCGTATTCGGTTACGTCGGGGAAGAAGCGAGTGGGCTGTATAGAAGGAGAATCTGTGAGCTCAAGCTCCTGGTAGTACTTCTCAAGGTTGTCGATGGCCAATCTCACAGACTGGAAGACGCGAGCGAGGCGAAGAGCATGATCGTCGTCATTAGCACGGCTATTGCCAAGCCACAGATAGTCGGTCAAACGCTGGACAATCGGAAGAGTCCGGAAGACGGCGCCTAGGATGACGATCCAAGGTCCTGCAATGGATATAATGAAAGATGGGCAGCAGCATGCTTTGAAAATATGTTCGCGCTAGAGAAGCGTTAAATCAGCACGGACAGAGATGATAAGGAGATAAGCCACAAACTTGGATGTCTTTCTGTGTCCAGTACTGAGCGTACGAAAAAGAGCCTTGAACGGAACCTTCGCCATCCCAGCCCAGTTCTGCCTTTTCTTCACATATGACACCAGCAGCCACTATGGGAGGGGATCTACGTTGGAACTGCAAGATGTAGGCTGAATTCATATTATTGGGGTCGATATTTTGGAAAACTGGACTGTTGAGCAGTTTTGATAAAATATTCCTAGTAGGGCTCTGACGCGCAGACTCATCGGGCGATATTTGAGAGACAGTCCTCATGACCTCTGCTGTGAGTTGGACGACCTGAGCTGGAATGTTCAAGGACTCGTCGCGAATGTAAGCTTGGAAGGAAGCAAAGACGCAATTATAGAGCTCAATTGGAGGAGGAATTGGTGTCCGCCGGAGACCATAGCGACCGTCGAGGATCGGTGTCACGCCACCTTGGTGGTCGAAGTAGTTGGTTGATTTAGCGTTTTCAGATGGAGCCATGCTACCAAGTACATTTTTGACGGCGATGTCAAGCTCTGAGTTTGTAGGGCGAGTTAGAGCATGTTTCAGGAAATCAAAGAACGACACACTTTTACCCAGCGCCCCAAGGACATCACGTTGCTCTGCGAGTTCGCCTTTCATATTTTCTGGCAATGTCGCAGTTCGTTCCATAGGTATAACCTCAGCAACGAGAGTAAACGGTGCCGCCTTATGGTGGTTATCACTCGTGGGAAAAATATCGCCGACTAACTCTGTGTCTATTAGTTGGTCACAAAATCTGTCCAGTCGACAATCGTTATCCAGCAGACGGTCCCGCAGGTCAGCAGAACCTCCACCGCTCGAATTTAGATGTGCGCATGGCTTTGGGAGTATTAAAAAAAAATAGGAACGATAACAGCAGAGATGACGGTACCTTCCACAGTAATATACTCTCCTCAGGGATCTGCTTTTTGGCAGCCAATGTTTCCTTTACACGAGCACATACACCATTGTCTGCAACTTCCACAAAGATAGTGCCTTTGTAGACACGGTTTTCTTTGTACAAGTAAATGAAGATCTGTAGTGGCATGAGCGTAGTAGTTTAGCCTTCATAGTTTAAAGTTAGGAGCGAAGCAAGCGACACGTGGTGATCGGCACCTCGGCTCGATCAGAGGTTACTTCCCTGATTCCTACTTACTGCCGCACTCTGGTTTGTAGCTTCCCCCCCTTTTCCCATTCTGAGAATGTTACGCCTCGCCTTCGGGGAAAATAATGGTGTTGATCATTTAACCGATGTCTTGCGTACTTATTCTACGCTTTACTTGCAGAAAGGCACTCCAGTATATGCGACGAGTGTTAACTTTCTTATCTGATACATACTCCATACCGCTTTCCTTTAGTTCATGAGTTCTCGAAAGCGACCATACGCGATGTCTATGCGAAAAGCCGCGTTCTTCAAGCTCAAAAATCTGACTATATGCACTGGTAGACGGCCAGAGACCCACGTATCGTTACATCTTTCACTGTGTATGTCAATGCATCTATGCTATCATCTAAATTCCTTGAGATAAAGCTTCCAACTATTAGGCACTGTCTTACTGTTATTACGTCCCCGCGACGCTCGAGCAGCGTGGCACCTACTTCATCTACAGGGCCCATCATCTGGGTCCTGGTGTCAACTACTTATCACGTCTTTGAGCCTCCATTTCATACATCAAAAGGAGGTATCAAGACATTGTAACACGAAGAAAAAATAACAGTCCATTCAATGACAATGAAACCTCTGCTACAGCGCACAGAAATTCGGAATGGTTTAGTTGGCAGGCCCACCCTTGATGCTGAATTCTTTGCCCACGTTTCCGGAGTCGCCAAAGACTTAGCACAGTGAATTATCAGCCCCAATTTTCTGGCATGAATGAAAACTACTCACGGGCAACAGCGTAATCGTCACCTTCAGCGACAAGAGGAACCTTAACGTCCATACGTCCCAACAGAATATCAAACTCGTCCGCCAAAACAACTGTTTGAATGGTCAGTCACCACACACAACTAACACAAACGACGCACATGGCAAGAACAAGCCGCCCTTGGTCAGCCTAATGCTGCTGTGGTTACGACCAGTGATTAGTTCGGGAGGGTTGGAAGTGTCCCAAGTGACGGTTTGAGTCGTCTCGACGAGCCATGTTGTACCCGTGGTCGGGGACAAAATAGGCGGGTCGAAGATATCGCGTTTAGAGGCAGGAATCGCAGAGGCTGCTGCGAGGAGAGCGGTAAAGAATGCAGTAGAGAAAGCGAGCTTTATGTCTGTCGTGCTTAAACGAGGTGGTTTCTTGTTGGATTATATAAGTGCTCTGGCATGGGGGACCACAAGCAAAGATAATCCGCATTCCCATGCACGGAGACTTCAGAGCGATGTTTGAGAACTATGACGAAGTAGCGGCACATTCTCGGATGTAGGAAGTTCGAAAAACGCCACGGAAGAAGAGTTTGTGGGAAGGAGTAATCGCCGGCAGTTTCATAGCCATGTGTCGTACGAAGACAATGGGTGTCTATGCTGGAGGAAGGTTCCCTATGCCCTTATTGAGATGGTATATCGGAGAGGGAAAAAAAATAAGGATCATAGATGAATTCTCAGACTTGCTCATCTCGGAGAGAATGAGAGAGCGATGGATGTCCCAAACCTTCATCGCCTTCACTCTCCCAAAACGCTCTAGCGGTTGACCCTTAGGAATAAAATAACCGCCAGGCAGTCCCGCACGGAAGACGCTGGCCATCGCGGCAACGCGACACATGAACATCTACCACCTGATACCAAGACAAGTGCTGGAAACTTTCGAAAGTACGCCTGTAGTCGACCTTCAGGGTCTTGGGATCCCACAGGCGGTGTTTTCATACCGTCTCGTAGTACTATGCGACGTCCTTGGTATTTCCGTTGAGTCATAACTCCCTCGTACTCGGACTGCTCGGTTATTTCATTAGACTAAGGCTTCGGATATGCATTCGAGAAAGCGCTACCAGGATCCTTTGGTCTCTAGACCAGGGTATGAGTTTACTCCCATGTGAGGAGGTGATACACTATGCTGCATCCCGAGCCCAAACGCCGCCCGGTAAATGGGGAATTCTCATCGATAGTTTGCCCTGTCTCACTTTCCCGGCCGATGACACAGGTGCAGAAGCAATATTGCTGAAAGATTCTTCCGGGACATTCTAGGCACCGCATGACGCGTTCCGTTTGCCGAACATTCACGCCTTTCGTATGACGTATCCTACATGAGATTTGAATGCCTAGAGTCCATGGCCAAGAACACGTCTATGCGCTTCATGCCTACAATCTCGCTTCTAGCCGCTAGTTATGGCTCTTCGAAAGGAGGAAGCGTAACGGGTTTGGCAAAAGGTGCAAGCTCAGGTAATTGTGACTGTAGTTACTTTCTGGGCTGACGCGCTCCAGAATATCACAATACGGTTGTTTTCATTGAGAAGGTCGTCCTATATGGAGAGGTACTTGCAGCGACGAGAGCTATTACCATGCCGGAGATAGACAGCCATAATGTTAAGTGTTATGAATTGAATGATTCGAAGGAGCTACACTACTAGCGTTGATAGGATCCCAGCCAGGCAAACGATTCGGCTGGCTGCGTTAGAACGATGGACACTGAGCGGCATGATTCGGCCAGAGGAGGTAGATAAGTAACTGAAAGAATATCATCATGCGAAGTCGTCGATCATACAAGAGAGACTGCGAAAAAGACTGTTAGAGAGATAAGCGGAAAGAAAGAACAGAGTACTGACTATTCACGCGAATGAGAAATGGCATTAGAGCCTCGGTAAGCTAGGTTCGACTAACGACTAGTCTGTTGAACTGTCGTCTTGCAGGCGAATCGCTGAGCTCTCACTGAATCCACGATATGGATAACTGTCGCGTGGATTCCGGCAAGCTCAGAGGAAGGCGACGTTGATGAGAAATACACTACCAACAGGCTCGTCATGTTGGTGGATCCGGTGTAATGGCCGTTCGCGCTTGTCTTGAATCTATACTCCTCTGGCATAACGCTTCCCTTCAAGTACTTTTATGATGATCACAATTCCTAGGCGCGAAACAATCTAAGTCAATACAAGATAACTGTGGCACTAGAAATGAACTCTACATACAAAGAACACACGCAAGTATTTCAGAAATCATACAGATCAAAGTCTAGCGTGAGACCAGTCTTCGCAAGGGCCCTCAATTCGTCCTCATCTTCCGGATCCAATCCATAACTCCAACTTTGTCCCACTATACGTAGACCAAATTTCCCCAGGACGCCATCGCGATTCCGTGAAATGATCATCTCGAGAAACTCACGTTCAAGAAAACAGACATGCACATTATCAACTCCTTCCAACACGATGCGGAAGCTGCTCAGACAAGGAACCAGGGCATGGCAAACTGACCCATCCACCCGTACGGTCTCCGCCAGCTCCACCATAAGCACTTCCATACCCAGATCGTTACCCTCATCCTATTGGTTGAATTGAATGTTAAATTCCTCCAGACGCGGCGTCAATCGCAGAACCGCCGCAAGATCATTGCCAACGATAGTTGTATCGACGACAGAGAGTCGGATTAGCGAACAGTGAGAATGGTGAAGTAGCTCCGACAGCGCTATGATGGCACGCCTTGGAAGGTCGATAACCTGCTGGTTTCTGTCCTTGTCGTAGCCAGCGGTGAGAACAACCTCGCGTAGGGCTGGTAATTCAACACTTCGCATGAAACATGCCGAAGAAACTGAAAACGTCTGTATGGACTGGCTGATAACACGGGGATGGGCTGGCAGTAATCCTGGTGGTACCGGGGCGTCAGCGTAGTTGTGGTACGAAAACGAGAGGAGTTTCGGAGAAGATCTGATAATGTCGACATATTCCGGCGTCAGCAAGTCGCCCGCAAATGGTCGTTCATCGTAAAACGAGATAAGATTGCTGGCAGGAAAAGTGATTTGAGCCTGACGATGTATTCCTTTCAGGTGGAGGTTTCTCAGCCTGGGGGCTATTTCAAAGGCGGTGATGGGTGCTGAATGATTCTCCAGGTAGGACCAACATTTCACATATGCATCGGTGAGCAGATTGACCTTTCCGCGAAAGCCAGAAAGACGTGGAAGAAATGAGGGATGAACGACAAATTCGGTTCTTCTCCATCGTGCTGAATGGTTTATCATAAAGTCAAAGCACCGCTGCATGACGCTGAGAACTTCTGCTGATGAAACGGTGCAATGGGAAAACAAGAAGTCAAGGGGATGATGCTTGCCAGCCCGTTCGAGCACACTCTCGAGCATTGCTACGACGTCTCCGCAGGGATGCCACGCATCTATATCGGAACGTGGAGCTTGGATGGTCATCGTTGCCCATAGTTTGGGACAGAGCGTACTGACGACGTCCCTCCATAGCCTGCATACTTGCCCGAGATACCATGGACCCTCTGCAACAGTGAAAACGTTAAACTCACAGACGTGAGTTTCTTCGGGACCATCGACCGCCATCCACGTATGACATAGAATCTCCATCACTATCTCTGCTGGTACACGTCGTAGGGGAGATAGCATGGCGCTGTAATGGTGCTGGAGAGACCGTACTCGTGACATCTGAGCTTCGAGGGATGCCACTGCGTTCCCTAGCAGGTCAAGCACAGCCTGGATTTCTTGGCTAGTATCCTCTAACTTCGCCACTGATGCGTTCAGGTTGACGGATTGTAGGGGTGATGGCAAGTTGTTGGAATGGAGCAGGGCGACGATATCGGGTGAGTGGGTGATGGTCGATATCCAGTCAAACTGGGCCATCAACTGGTCAAGCGAAGATCGTATTGATTTCATGATTGATGGAAGAGTAGGAGCCATGGCACATCCAAGGAAGGCACTGTTAGAACACGAATGCCTTCGTTCAGAACATGATGCACATGGCAGTGGAAGAAAACTCACACTTTTCGCGGGGAGGATCCTTGGCTACAGAAAAGCGTAGAGATGGAAGACAAAGGGGGGAAATTATTCGAATCCCGCTGATGCGTCCTGATGTAACATTGATGACGTCAGGGATCCGTAAGCCAAAGCGAAATCGATACGACTCACGCAGTGGTGGACGATGAGTGAGTGCCAAACGCCGTTCTTTCTGCGAGCACTGCACGCCCGATATCTCGCTTTCATGCTGAAAATCCTTCGTTCATGACCGTGGGAAGTTCAAGCGTGCCGATATGTTGGTCGAACGAGAAAGCCGTATTGAATATAACACGCTCAGTAAGCGAGACCTTCGACAAATGCCCATAGCTCACATCACATGTGTCATGTGGTTTGAGGTCGTAGATGCTTCACCGTTTTTGTGCTCGTAATGAAAGGGGAAGGAGAATGGATGTCTTATTCCTAAAGATCAACAAGAAGAAATTTTCAAAAGGAACAAGACACTTACACAGTCAGACATAAATGGGCTGGAAAACTCGCCAGTTCTGTGAGAGAGAGATGTGAAGACATTGACCATTTGTGAGGGTATTCTTGCAAGACAGCCATCGCTAACGCCCGCGTTACAGCATCGAGTCGTCGCAACTCGCCCTTATTCCGTGGAACCCAAGCCTGTGAATCGGGACTCGTGGCCGGTAAAAGATGGCTTGGTCCATGATCGCAATGATATCAAAAAGAAAAGTGGCATATCTGGAGAAGAATCAGTGAAATATTGGGTGAGACAGTTAAAACGCACGAAAAACTAGATATCCTTCTCGTCGTCGCGCGTGAAAGTGTGTATACCCTCCACAATCCTCGTTTATTTCTCGCGAGAAGTCGCTTCTTTGGCATTATATCACTATATGCTGCGTTATGGATTGTCCAGAGCTCGAAAATAGGCAGAATACGTACTTTGTGTGGACCTTCAGGAGGCTCTAGCCATAGCGGCATGGAAAACCGCGCGATACGTCTCCTCGTCACATTTACCGAGGAACATCTCCCTCAAATTTCGATGCTTGCAGCAATAACTGGTCTCAGTCCGCTACTGGTCCGCTAGTCGACTCGTCGCAATTTCGAAAGAACACCTCGCTGCTTTGGATGGAAGGCCGTTGTCAGTCCAGTCTATCGCGAGAGATGCTGGCTGGAGATTGAAATCAATTCAGGATTGGATGTGTGATGATAGAGGATGATGGTGGTTGACTGAGAAGCGGCGTCGGACCCTGAATTCCCGTCTTCCACCGTCTTCCGCTCCGGGCCGTTCACCTTACCAATCGCAAAGTCGGCCTGAACATCGTATTCATCACGTAGATTTTTTTTATAGATAACAATGTGCGTAGCTCTATTTCACACACTATTCGCCATTCTCTTCCTAATCTGCAATGTTTGCCGTCGATGGTTAAGCTGGTCGCACCGTAAGTCGGTCTGTAACCATTGGCTTTCTGATTCCTGAAACTTCATTCATCGCTAGTCATCGGCATGAGAAATTCACCAATGGTTACTGTACTTGTATATTGATGAGTCATTCAGCTGAACAGTAGTATAAGTGGTAGATGTGATAGTTGCTAGGTCAAGAAAATCGACTATTCTATGAAAACGTGACTACGAAAGGAGATTTCTACAAATAGGCGCAGGCGGAATCGGATCCTGACTATTCGGAAGGTAAAAAATCTCCCTATGCCGAGTCTGGTTGATGAGCATCATCCAAACATAGCGCTTCATCATATGCATAATCACCGGGCAATAATCCCTATGGTCCTGCCACTCTCTCAAATAAAAATTATGGCGGAAGAAATTGACGCGCTGTTTACACGCCTTGCACCGGACATGGGTAGGTTCGATAGACTTGGTGTCGACCCACGCTTCGTTCTTGAGAAGCCTTCTATCGGCTTCCGGATCCCTGTTTGGTGCGTCACAGTGAACATCGAGTTCCCAGTAATCGCCAGAGATGTCGACTTGGACCAGGCGCGTTGGGTCGGAACTTGAAATGGCGTAAGTGAACGTCATGTTTTGTTTGGTAGACAGAATGGACAGCGTTGGCGTTCATGACGAATGACCATCTGAAAGGGAGAAAAAGTAAGCCATGAAACTCTGATTCAAAAACGCGCGCCACTCACTGTTTGGGGCGCGTTTTAGCCAACTCGTCACGGAAAGCAACGACATCAAAGACAAATCGCCTGAGTCTGGAGGGCGGATTCAGGCCCCAGGAATCTAACAAGTTCGACAACATTTCCATAGTGTGAGGAAGACTTGTAGACGGGCTTGGTTTTGGAAAGTGGGTGGGAATGTGAGTTCGAGAGTCTGCAAGTTGTTTAAATAGTATCAACTCACTGCCACCTAGCCATTTATTGTCCTTGCTGCCACCGTTTTTATTACAGCCAAAGCCAAAAACAAAGACACAATGAAGGATTTCGAATCGAAGCAATAGAACGTGGATAGAATGAAGCCAAGAGTGAGTTCAAAGGACAAGTTGCACTAGTCGCCACCCAAGGTATCTCTTGGCATCATGCAAGTTCTACAATTAGAATCGGTATCAATTGTGTCGGTAGGACAAAGGGAACAAAGACCACATAGCCGAGTCATTCAACAGTATCGTCTACGACGGTCAACTCGGAAATGAGTGGCATTTAGGTCCACGGAAGCACTGAAACAGACATTGATAGCAGGATCCAAACAAGCACCGACCGAAGGCACAGATACCATAGACATAGTTACACTCGCAACCTTTAACCAAGCTCACAACACTTTCAGGGCCCTGATATAGACCTACACCTGTATAATTGCTGGTAGCGACACGATAGCCCTTGACCTCAAAGTGCTCGCCTGCATTACATGACTCCGATCGGTGGTCTAAGTTGTACTCAATTTCGATTGTGTGTTGTAGCCGTCATCAAGGCAAGAGGAATTAGGATAAAGAAGACATGTAAACCCTTCTCAGTCTCCCAAAAAGGAGGCATCGGTACGACTGGCAGCAGCAAAAGAGGCAAAACGATCCAAAAAAAAAATGCTATTCTCTTAGCGAGACCGCCGCCTCCCAATCGCTCAGCGTATTGCTTTCCCGTTCTTTCGTCTCCATGACGTCATTCGTGATCTCGTCCATCAATTACAACCAATTACAACCAACAAGTCAGTGTCTAATATTTTGAAAGGTAAGCAAAGATTCCGAGAAGAGCAATCCATGTACGTTCTCTCCAATCCTAGAGAAAACAAGCAGTACGAACAGAGATCAATTTCGACTGAAAGTCGCGAGGTGGATCTGGTAAACGCCTTCAATTACGTACAATCACCGAAGACTAATCCTCATACGATGGTCCTCGAATTTATGTGCGCTGCTTGTCGACGAAAAGGGCTGGCTGGTAAAAGAGACATGAGGAGGGCTATGATTACAAAATACAAACGACGTATGTAGATCTGTGGCATCGAAGTAGAAAGCTCAAATCATAAAGATAACATATATTTTAACACCGCCTATAATACGATTAGTGAATACAGGGGAAAAACATGCATAAGAACCGCACCTAATTCAATTTTCCCTCTAGCCGGGTGCCAAATCTGGTATTCCTCGGGGCATGACTGTACACATACTACCGCTTCCTGGTTAGGTCGTGCAATCTTCTGAAAGAGGGTAATCTGACAATATGCGCGTCAGAAGGTGGAAGAGAAACAGGAACTGAAGAGACCATACCTCCGCCGCCAAAGCGGTGTCCGCACGTAATAATGTGGTTAGGGTGCGTTCGCTCTTTTAACAAGAGAGGCTACCACGTCCAACATCGCGTGCTGTACATCCTCCTCAACTTTTCAAAGTCGCAAAATACTCTACAGCAACATAGATCTGCGAAATGTTGCAATCAGTACCTCAAGAAGTTTGGCGCTCAGAATGGCTCAACCATTCAACGTCCGTAGCGGGTGCTTGATGGAGCACTGAAATAGTACCAGCGACGACTAGGCGATCGGTCGAGCAATGGGACGAGGGCAGTAGAAGACAGTCACAGCGGACCTTGACACTAATCTGCTACCAGAGCGTCACCTCGTCCTTCGTCGTCAACTTTCTATGACTGCTTTTGGGTGGAGCCTTCGCTTCTCCTACAAACGATCCCAGGATTTGACTGCTTCTGCACACGAGAAAGCAGCGATAGGAGGTGGAGAAGATAAGGATTCAGCTAGGCGTGTACCGCAGCAACGATTTGACTCTGGAAATGGAAGCATCTGATGCGAAGGAAGCTCCAGACATATTGAATAATGGTTATGAAAATGTCGGTTCCATGTGCTTATGTTGTCCTGGAATGACCGTCGTCCCATAGAAAATGACGTTCTCTCCCTCGTCTCCACGTCAGCCTCACCGACAGCCGCAGCCATTCCGCTTCGTCTCGAGGTGCATCTAGCCTAGATGTTAACACTCGCATACACAGGCGGAAGGACGGAAACCATACCCTGGTCGCCGGAGAAATACAGGGATGACTATAGCGCATCTACCATCTGCATGTCATGCTGAAATGTAATCATATCGTAGTCCTTGACACCATATATGTTCCTTATATAGTCGCTGAGGTGCATCGGATACCTGACTTTGCCTTGCTCACCAGCCCAGTCAAAATCAACGATCCTCATCCTCTCCCCTTCATCTCCCGCACCATCAACGATCACAATATTCGGCGTGCGAATATCTCCAGGAACGAATGACTGATCGTGAAGAATCTGAACAGCACCTCGAACCGCTTCGTGCAGCGTCTCCAGAATGCTCCCTTCGTACTTTTGTGCTACCGCCTGGCCGTGTAGGAACTCCATTACGACCATCTGAAGGGAACCATACCAGTACTTTCCATTGCTGGAAATCGGACCGCAGTATTTTAGTGCTGATGCCTTCCCTTTACTTGCCAACAGTCTGTGGGCCTCGGCACCATATCGCTGAACAAACTTCACAACGACCTGTTCCTCTCCATGTGCATCGTCAAGCTTCGCGAGGAACATCATGCACACCTCATCTACTTCCAAGGGCTGAAGGTATTGGAATCTGACGACTTTCGTGCCATCGTTGTATTCGGTGATGTCAGGAAAGAAGCGAGTGGGCTGTATAGAAGGAGGATCTCAGGGATCAAGCTGTTGCGATATGCCGAAGTCATCCGTAGTCAATAGGTACAAACACGATCATGTAGCTCCGCTGTACTGTACAATTGAACTATCATCTGCGTGTTCGTGTCTGTGTCTGAGCTTCTCTCTCTCTTTCCGTCTTTCTTCCTTCCTTCTGCCTTTTCCTAGCCTCGTTCCCTGCAACACAAGATCCTGGTAGTACTTCTCAAGATCATCGATGGCCAATCTCAGAGACTGGAAGACACGAGCGAGGCGAAGAGCATGATTGTCGTCATTAGCACGGCTATTGCCAAGCCATAGATAGTCGGTCAAACGCTGGACAATCGGAAGAGTCCGGAAGATGGCGCCTAGGATGACGATCCAAAGTCCAGCAATGGATACAATGAAAGATGGGCAGCAGCATGCTTTGAAAATATGTTCGCGCTAGAGAAGCGTTAAATCAGCACGGACAGAGATGATAAGGAGATAAGCCACAAACTTGGATGTCTTTCTGTGTCCAGTACTGAGCGTATGAAAAAGAGCCTTGAACGGAACCTTCGCCGTCCCAGCCCAATTCTGCCTTCTCTACACATATTACACCAGCCGCTACCATGGGAGGGGATCTACGTTGGAACTGCAAGATGTAGGCTGAATTCGTCTTGTTGGGGTTGAGCTTTTGGAAAACTGGACTGTTGAGCAGTTGTGATAAAATATTCCTGGTAGGGCTCTGACGCGCAGACTCATCGGGCGATATTTGAGAGACAATCCTCACGAGCTCTGTTGTGAGTTGGACGACCTGAGCTGGAACGTGCAGGGACTCGTCATGAATGTCAGCCTGAAAGGAAGCAAAAATGCAATGATAAAGCTCGATCGGAGGAGGGATTGGTATCTGCCGAAGGCCATAGCGACCGTCGAGGATTGGTGTGATGCCGCCTTGGTGGTCGAAATAGTTAGTTGATTTAGTGCTTTCGGATGGAGTCATGCCACCACGTACATTTTCGACAGTGACGTCGAGCTCTGCATGTATAGGGATAGTTAGGGCATGTTTCAGGACAGCAAATACCGACACACTTTTACCCAGCACCTCAAGGATATCATGTTGTTCTGCGAGCTCGCCTTGTGTTTTTTCTCGCAGTGTCGGGGTTCGTTCTATAGGGATAATCTCAGCAACGAGAGCTGTCAATGCCGCCTGACTGTGGTTATCGCACGTGGGAAACATATGGCGGATTAACTCCGTATCTATTAACTGGTCACAAAATACGTCCAATCGACAATCGTTACCTAGCAGACGGTCCCGCAGGTCAGAAGACCCCCCCATAATCGGATTTAGGTGTTCGCGCGGCTTTGGGAGAATGAACAAATCGTAACGATATCAGCAGAGACGACAGTACCTTCCACAATGATATACTGTCTTCAGAGATCTGCTATTTGGCAGCCAATGTTTCCCTTACACGAGCACACAAAGCATCATCCGCAACTTCCAAAAATATAGTGCCTTCAGAAACACGGTTGTCTTTATACAAGTAAATGGAGATCTATAGTGGCGCGTCGAGGTTTAGCTTTTATTAGGAACGGAGCAAGGTAATGTGAAGTGGCGGTGCTGACTACACGTGGTGATTCGGCACCTCGGCAGTTTTTGAAAATTCGCCCTTCGTACAGCCACCACGTGAATCCCAAAAGAGGATAATGGCACTTGAGCCTACGCGTGCCACGAGTCAGCTCGTCTTGACCATGTCTGCCACTTTCCACCATCCTGCGATTCTGCTCCGTCACTGCGCACGCCAGCCCCAGCCAGGACCGCCGACTTCCTCCTCAGGATCACGATTCACGAAGCCAATCAAGTCGGGGCCAGTCCCAGTCCAGCGCGCCAACATGCGCTCTGCAACGTTTACACGCCGCCGCCTCCCGTACCTCCATCACACCGTCAACCAGGGGGTGATCTTATTCAACAAGGGTGATGCCCCTTTGCTTATAGATAGTATATCTTAGCTAGGTTGAATAAATACTCTTACTTTTTACTACAAGTCCTGTTGTATATGATTTAAATCTTCTGTAAATTGGTAAAAATTCATCCTAAATTCAGCATTGTTATAATTCCTACTAAGTCAAAATTTTGAACAATGAGTGGCTTGCACGCGTGGAGGACCGAATCCACGTGGATAGCGCCTCAGCCGAACCAGCTCATTGCGTGACTTCCTTTTCAGGTCGTCACATCACGGTAACGGAGGGCGAATTTGAGGCAACTTCACCTCGGCCCGATCAGACTGTGTTGACCGCGAGTTTCCCTGACTCCTACTGCAACCAGTTATTTGCGATGCAACCTTTTCTACCTTTTCCTCTTAGGATCTTCCCACATTCTATTGACAGAGATTTATCCTTGGGAAAAAGAAAGCTGTGGATCCCTGAACAGATGTCCTGCGTATAAGAAGCCGAATCAAGACACAATCCTCTCACAATCCAAGCTACTCACCACGTCAAGGCTATTTTTCTCATTCTTGAAGAGGGAGCATAATGATACCATTTCTGCTGTAGCACTAACAACTTGCAGAATCTCTATGCATCGTCGCTGCTAGTTACTCCACCTTAGCCCTATTCTACGCCCGTCAAGTTCGGTGTCCGACTTGGAGCAGCTGCAATCGCGCCGGCCGCCATCGTAAATCCAGGAAATAGCCATCCGTATTCCCAGTAGGAGGCTCGTTTACTTATGAAATTCGTATGTACTACGATGTTCTCTTTGAGATATTCATTAATCGCTATGTATAGCCATCTGCAAGAGTCACCCACCCCATCTCGCTGCCCGCTCCATTTGATATAAGACCCCGTGGTATCTGGTTATTAGCCTTTACTACGCTAACTCGTGCGAACTTGCTGGACTGTCGATTATTTGAAGTGCTACTCGAGCTCCCCGAAAGTGTTCAAAGTCGGCGGTCGTTATTTCTCCAGTTATCAGAGTATGTTTGGGTCCTTCTGCATATATGTGCGCGTGCCGTGTTGAATTATTCCCTTCCCCCACTTTCCATCACAACTTTCTCGCGTACAGGAACGGTCAAAATTCGGATCACATGTAAAACAACAGCACGAGAAGATACAAAGCCGCCACCTGAAAACAGTCATAAAGAGCCGGTAGCGAAGGACGAGACGACGTTGTGGTGACAGATCAGTATCAAGATCTGACGGGACTCCGTCTACTGCCATCATCGCACTGCTCAATCCATCGTGTACTTGTCTCTGGTGGACTACTCAGTGTTTCGTTTAGTATTCAGTACAGACGTCGAATAGGTGAACCAGTCCAAGTCCTGAGCTCTTTCCTGATATACTGACTACAACGCTTTTCAGATGATCTCTTCGTTCCTTGAATTCTCCACCTTTCGACGTAAATATCGCCAGGTTGCCTTCTTTCATCAAATTGTACGTCCCCACCGGCAAGCGGTAGCAAGTGGTACATTTATGGCTCGTTATTCGCCACTTGGCCAAAAATCCATCGTTTCTGATGCGGTTTTTCTCCGCGTCTTTGCCATACTCATTAATCGTGTTACAGTGGTGCAGACCCACCGGCCGGGGTTTCAGTCTGAACCTGTTACTTTACTATGAAGAATCTGTCCTCATAGATTCTTTTACCAGCCGGTCCTTTCCATCGACAAACAGGTGTTCGAAGGTCGTATATTTCTCCGGTGACCAGTGTCCTACACATTCACGTACAAATGAACATCTTTTCCTGAGATACAAATGTCGCGCTAGGACATAGAGGTACACTGAACCAGTATGTTCACCGTCGATCAGGTTCTCAGCTTTCTTAGTATGAAACACTCCCGTTCCCGCAGGCAAAACATCGTTGCAGCGCACGCCGCGTTGATGCCCTTCTGTTATAGTTTGGCATTTATATCCCATTGTCTGCTGTATCTTTGATAAAAATGGCGTAAATATGGAGTGAATTGCGTACTTACACGGAGTGAACGCAGGTCCTTCTAGTCGCGTTTCAGCCGGAGATGTAAGAGTCTATCAAGCTGCTGTAAGTCTGATAATATAGACTCGTTGTTCCTATCGGAAAGTGCCCGAGTTTTTGCCTCTGCAAAAATGCCCACAGAATCGATAGGATCATTCATCATCCCATATCGCATGGCAAGGTCCCTCTCGAAATGTTCCAAACGGAGGATTTCTTGTTCTTGGGGATTAACCTAGGAAAAGATGAGAATGGACATCGCATATGATGCAGTAAGGCAGGTATATTCATGACCCGACTGGGATATTAAAACTGGGAAAAGTGAAGCAAGATGGTCGCACCGCAGTCACCGCGGTATGGTAGATACTAATCACGGAAGATGTTGGTACGACTCGTGTATGGATTGAAAAGGAAGATAGGAGAAACACGCTCACTATACCAAAGCTTCGATTGTAGATGCTACGGAGCCATATCCGTATTCTCAAAACTGAGAATCGGAACATTGTATTACCTGGAGATAGTTTAGGAATGAAAGAATTCTTCAAGAAATCACGTAGCGTACTTGCGAGCCCTCTCATTACTGTGTTAGTTCTTAGTCGGGGGAGTTTGAGTAGTCGCACTTTAGAAGAAGCCAGTAGGGGATGAGCTGGGATCCATCCTTTCTCGCGACTTATAATTGGAAAGTTTCATGGTTCTGTCGTGTGGAGAACATCTGTTTTTGATGGTCACATGTTCGAGATGACATGATAATGCTGGCCCCCAATCTCCACTCCGCGAAATGCAGATCATGTGCATGATCATGATGTGATACAGTGAGGCAGAAGTTTCGGACCATATCGATAAGAAGCCGGCGTGATGATGTTCCTGACTGGTGATGTGCAGTGTAGTGATAATGCTATCATGGAACTGGGAGTGCGTACTGGGGGCTATAAGTTTATATATGTATGCAGCTTAGAGCGAGATATAGCTGATATAGGGGATTCCCAACTGTGCGCGAGCGGTGATCATGCGGGCAAAAAGAGGCTTTGCGAAGACCAATATTATGATATTGTCTTGCGATTTGAAAGCGTTCTATTTCACGCAAGAAGACGACCCCAACCACACATCCTTCTGCTCCCGCGTTGCCCTGTGGGACAGCCAGTGTTTGGAAAGTTAGCTCTATGTTTAGCATTTGGTCCTGTTGGATCGTTCCATGTAATACTACTACCTACCTACGGGTAGTGCATACCCAGGGTTCACACGTGTCGACTTCTCCAACAACTTCTCAAACCGAAAGAGTGCAGAGAAGTGCATGCGTGAGTACCCCATTCCCCACGCATTCACATTCCTGACACGCCGTCAACGATACGTGCAAATACACATACGGACAGCAATCTACCACTGATGCAGCAGGGAAGATTTCATCTACAGCGCCAAGCATACCCTCTGACAACGCGCGCAGGAGTGTCGGGATAGTACATAGTGCGCCAATCAGAAAGTATGGAGGGTGGCATCCCCAATGGCAGCAGTCGAGAATCATGGCAATTAGATACCCTTTCTCACGAGAGATTTGAGCGAGGGTGGCATCGAATTCTCATCCATTAGTGTCCGCTCACTCGGTCCAGTGTTGCTGCAATCGATAGGGTGATGTTGCCGCGTGTTGGGGTGCACTCACTGTCACGGGAGATAGCTTAACTGCCGAAGTGGCGTTGGATTATGTTCAATACCCGTTTCTCGGGCATGGTGAGGTCCTTAGTGACATGTTACCGCATGCTCAAGGGGCAGGATACACAAGCAAGTAAAGCACGTCAATATGTATCGATGTATCGACGCCAATTAGAACAGCCTAAAATCAACATCTGTCCGTATAGTGGAAGAGCTAAAACGATACCGATCAGTATGAGAGCCATAACAAGGAATGTACACCCACCGCCGGGGCGAATCCCGAGGAGTAATTGTCAGAAGACTGATATTCGGCCTAGCCAACAGTAAGAAAGACGAGCTTGAAGGATGCAGAGAACCGCCGGAGCCGTATCGCTGATTCCAAGAGAGAGAATGGGGAATCACTAAAGAAAGGGAGAAGTAGGGAAGTCCTGCCCGGATGTGCACTAATCACGGATAAACCGGACCGCATCCAACGCTTACACCGCGACGCACCATAAATGTGGGAGTCTACAACCTCAAGGTGACTTGTGTTCATTGCCTGTGTTGTAGCCTTTTGCTTCGATAACCTCGTTCGCAGTAAGGTGGGCGTCAAGGGGAATATCACGATGCTCGTCCATCAATTATGACCAAAAAGTCGGTGTCTAATCAGCACATTTTGAAAGATAAGCAAGATTCCGAGAAGAGCAAACCACGCACGTTCTCTCCCAATCCTCCAGTTCGTCGTACTCCAAGGTCGCCATTCCAGCATTCTCCACGAGGATATCCAATCGATCGAATTCACTTTCAGCCCTATCAACAAACGCAATGACCCTGCTGAAATTGGCGACGTCGATGATCCATATCCCGCTTTTGTGTATCCAGTCTCTTTGAGAACGCCTGTGATGATAACGATCAATCGGCACCGTAGATCTGATAAATACAAGAACATACGAGCAACAGCCTCCTTTCCCTTCGCTTCATTCTTTGCCGTCAACACCAATTGCGCAGGGTTCACCTTAGCGAAATGCTTTGCGGCTTCGAATCCTAAGTCCAGTGTTGGCTCCGATGGGGACGACTGTTTTTCCACCCAGGTCTGCCGTGACGACGGCAGGCATCGGTCTGGCCCGGTCTGCGACCCATTGTTCGCGAGTTCTGGGAGCATGATAAGGTGTGATGAAGAGTCGTCCAAGTTCGTTGCTTTATACGTTGTTGGGTGCGAATGTATTTGGGGATCCCATCAGATCGGAGTCTTTTGAGGCGCTTCTGAATCGCGTAGTTGCAAGGTCGAAGTTTATAGTGAATAGCATGGTCCGGACTGCCGTTAGCCTATGCAAGCGCAGGATCATGTTTATAGAAGCTCTGACGATAGGTCAACATGAAGGTACCCTAGGACGAGCGTAAGACTGAAGAGACAAGCTTCGATATCGCTAAATAGCCAAAATGACAGTTGTGCAGCAGTTGATATATGAAATGTTACGTACACTCTATTTAGACAATCGCAGGATACGCTTTCCAAATTGACAGTACGAAGCATACATCAATGCACAAGCATTGGGACGCTGAATGGAACTGCGCATGAACTGAGCACCCTTATTCTAGTGAGCGCTCACATATATACGTAGGAGGAGCAAAACCATACTCTGTTCTCCGGAGAAATACGCCGCTCTCAACACTTTCGGGAAGCTCGATTAGTATCAAACGATCGACAGTCTAGTTAGTCCGTATGGATCAGCATGGTAAGCACAGACCCAACAGGGTCCGTGGAGTTATCGTTCCAGAGGTTCACACGAGTCTTAGACCAGTTGGAAGCGGGCCGTGTGAGGAGAGGCGGTGATATCGTTGCAGACAACTACAACACAGTGAATAACGAATATTTCAAGAATATCGTGGTACGTACAAGTTCATAAACAAGCCTCCGGCTCTGCTACCGCGTAATATTCGCGCCGAGTGCTTGTAGGTGGTACCGCCTCGAGTGTTGAGTACCAAATGCTAAAGGTCGTATGAGCGGACGTAGAATTGGGGAAATATACAGGGCGCGCAGGTGTAAAATTGGCAGCACCACTCTGTAATACAATTAATGAATGCAGTGGAAAAAAATAAGGAAGAGGCCACGTACCGTCCGTCCATGATGCAGGCACTCATCTATACCCCTCCACCTACAACGTTGAATGAAGTAATACTCGAGCCCTAACGGTGTCCTTGAAACGCTTTCCGTGGAAGAGAAGGTACCGTGCGATATGATGATGATATACGACATCTTAGAAGATCTGGTACAACCCGACTATATGCACTTCGGAAGGTAAAGGATAGATACGGAGGACGAAAAGATTGTATATTCGCGGCCGCCTATGAACGTATCCTCTGGCAGGGTGATATCTTGCACCGCGCGCTCAAAACTGGGCTTAGGGTCGCTTATCGGTCACTATGTCCAATGTCGTGGCATCACTGCGTTGTACGTCGACCTCGTGTTCCAGATTGGCAGAAGATTATATAACAGCTCGCTTAGGAACCAGATCTACAGTATTGCATTTAGTATCTCTCGAATGCTCGATGCTCAGGCCGACGCACCTGTCTAATGAGGTCCGTATCATCAGTTTTCCATTTCGATGATTGAGCGCTGCGTCAGGAACTGAGGTACTGAGCGACGAGCTGTCCATGGCTGAGCCGGGTAATGGGTAGAGCGATGCCCGCTTCAATGCGATGATGGTGGTAGGAGACTGGGGAGACTGAGTCGTGTCGGACCTTGAAAATGTTATCGATCCGCCATCACCGCGGCGCGTCGTCGGCTACCAGTATTCCAGTACAACGACCGCTTTCAAACGGGCATGTCGACTCCTTGGCCCATTTCCGTACCGTTATTGCAGAATATATCACAACTCAACAGTTTTTGTGCAACGGAGAAATCCGCGAACTTCGCCCCACCCATACCAAACTTGAATATGCGCACAAAACTAACAAGGATCTGGCCCAAGCAAAAGCTATGAATACTCTACATGTCACACATGCATGTATGCGTACCGTGACCATCGAATGCATAATACATAGTGACCAGACTTTGACTCAGCAGGCTCACCGTCTAATTCTTGCGTGTTAGAAGATCAATTGAAGACACTTACTTCTCATTCTGAACTACGACAGCCTCTCCCTCCTTCTCTTCTCCTGTGATGCCCTTACTATATCCTTGCTTTGGCTGTGGATTCCGCTTTGGATCACAGGCAATACAATGGCTACTAGAAATCAATGAATATACTAACCGCTTCAAACACCTACTACCACCGAATGGCATTCCATTTGATGAGGGAAAGCGTAGCGTCACAGCAATGTTCACAGGAAAGGAGACACTAGGAAACGAAGTAAAACGTCCCGAGGACTAGATGGATCGCTTGATATCTCTACGAAACAAGATAAATCGAGAGACAGCCAACTACAACACCATTAGAGCTCCTACCCTCTCGACCTCTCATACTATCACGCTCCTCATCTCCTCATCGCCGTGATGGAAACTACCAACCGCAGTTCCGATCCACTCGTACCGAGATCTCTACAGAATAGAGGGAAATCTTCTCTCACTAGAAGAGTTCTACGATCTCAGCACTCTTGATGTTCACTGCATGCATCAAACTACCTTTCAATTCACCGGTCTCTGGGACGTTCCCATCCTCAAAAAATTCGTGAGATCACCGATTACCCTGAGCCATACATCCCTGTACAGTGCACACACCCCAAATCACGACTGCCGAGATGATAAGAGCACCAGCGAGAAGTCGACTACTCATGGCAGATCTCCCTCTCTTGCCTTCCCTCGAGCAAACTTCGTCCCTTGCTCGCGCGCGAGCAGTTAACCTTGTGAGCACGATGGCTCACGCTACCAGCTCTTACGACGTTGACTCTGCAAGAGGATATCTCCGTCGACGCGTCCTTTCTCGTATTGATCGTTCTGGGTCTTCTCTCTATTCGTGAGATAGCCATCGCATCGAATGTCATTGTTGAAGCAGATTGAACTCGCCTACTCAACGGAACTCTCGGCTCTCGTGGTTGTTGTGCTGCTTACAGAATGCGCTCACGCGGCCGCGTTCACCCAGGGGCTGTCTGAGATTTCTGATCGCTTTACGGTGCTACACAGACTCACGTTGAAGGGAATAAAAGCTGTTGATCCAGCCAGCGTCACCCATGCCAGGGACGCGCAGCCCAGTATCGTTGTGAGGTGGTAGATCAGCTCAAAATTCTTCTCTCCGTGCACCCTGACAGCCAATGACAGAAGACGGGGCTGTGAATTAGGTACAGTTTTCCACACAGTTGAATAACGATTGTAGTTGCCGTTAGTAGTATATTGTTAGATGATGCAGACACGGACATAGGCACCTGGCTATTGTATTCACTACCTGAATCGCTACTCCTACATCAATGGTCGAACTGAATGATAGATCCCTGCCATCGGCACAATTACATTAGAATCTGCCGGTCGCCTGCTCACAGTTGCTCTTCGTAAAGTGAGACTAGATTGGAGTGATTTGTTCTTTTCAGGTGAAGAGTTCCCAGCTTAGACGGCAGCAGGAGATCAGAAGATAGAAAGATGCAATGTAAATCCCGTATTTCCATGCTACGCGTCGGAGACTGACTTATCAGACAATTAACGTTGAAAGGAATTGAGGGAAGCACAGGTGAGATAAGTACATTAGCATGAGAGTATTCCTGCTGCCACTACGTCACTATGATCTGACGACACAATTCTGATATATGTACCATGCTTATCCCTTGTGGCAGTACTATAAGCGCCTTCGATGAGAGTGTGGGAACACGATCTCGGAAAATAGCGCACATTTGCACCAGAATAAATCCAATCCAATTCAACGCCTCAACTGTCAGGAACACGCGGTAGTGTTGAAGTTTCTGAATTAGCAAGAGATACTTAGTAAGATTATGTCAATACGAACACATTGAATATCCAAGTAGTCTGGATATCTCTATGAAAACCCTCCTCGATTTTGGCCCATTCTCGCCGGTATTAACACGTAAATATCCTAGCCCTTACGCGGTTTCATGGCCGGTGCAAAGGAATGGCTAAATATGCGATCAAAGACTTCAGCATCCCCGAAGATCATACCCATTCGTCTCTCTACCTATTTTCGGATACAACATGATGATAATATCGCCATATACTTCTTCAGACACGATTAGCAATGCTGCTGTTTGGAACATCCGCTACAAGGACTTCTACAGCAGTCAAAGAAACCGTCGACCGTTATGTTATCGATGCCATGCCATCTACCAGACGTCTGTCAGTTCCCGACATCAGCGACCGAGAAATCTATACACTTCTCTCCGAAATATCTCGTCCTAAGGGACGCGTAATGATCTCCATTCTTCATTCCTGCCATCCCGTCGGCATCACCCGAGAAATATAGGAAGAGTACGTAACATCATGTCAATGTCAGGCAGCTCCATTCGATATCTCTTTACAACTGCCCATAAGAACTTGAGAGAGATCTCCCATCAATATATATCCATGGGAGTTTGACATTGGTGCCCTAGCAGCGTTTCAGGACGAACTTTGCGAGAGAGGTACAAGGGGCCAGGGTTACAATGGAGTATTCACTCAAGCGCTCATTCCCGCTCTCAAGTCGGCTAACTACAAACGAACAGATTACGTCCATCTCCTTCAGGAATACCTTGGATCGTAGACTAGAAGCACCGTTGTCGCTGGAACGAAAAAGGATGCGCAAACTTGGTATCAGGTATTGACGGCAACTTTTGTTATTATGTGTATATATATCCATTGAAGCGGCCGACACGTATTCAGGATTCCACTTGTGATAGTACAGTGCTGTTAGATGAGCAGTAGGCGCTGGCAACAGGTACCGTGCTGGGATATTTTCCCATGGACTTGCTAAAACAATAGCCTTAGAAAAGAATTCAGACTGAACTAATCTAGCAGAAAATGGTGACTCGTAATTATAGGGCGCTTCCTCAGAATTCAATATCGGCACGAGCATCGGTGGCGAGGATATCAATACTAGTGACTTGTTGTCATCAATAATGTGTATGCGCTTAGTAGTGAATGAATACTGTATGATATATGGACCTTAATGCCGCACGCCTTCACGAAATTTCTCAATTGACCCACCTATATGCGGCCGCATTGGAAAATGCAGCAGTCAGCATTCAGTCTACGCTTATGATTACTGGTTTACGAACTCTAGAACAATGGTGACATGTTGAACCATCGATTGTATTCAATAAATCCAGAATGTACAGGTGTCAATGGCCAATGGACCCAGAAAACCCACACGGCATCCCTCCAAGGTCCGAAACTATGCCTTCTTTAAGGGCTCCGATATCATCGACACCGCTGTGATGCAACTTCCTGCTTATACAGATGAACAGAAAAACTCATAAGGGAAGTGGTAACAAGTTGACGTGATTCAGTTGATAGAGGATAAGGGCATAGGGTAGGGCAATGCAAGTCTGTCCACGGAGAAGATTTTTGATTGCGTTTCGGAACACTAGCATTATGATCAAGCGTCCCATCGCCTTTGAAATTTGAAGTTTTTAAAGTATAATCATAGCCGTTATTGCCAGAACAGATCTCCGTAGAACTCAGAGCTATGTGGATGAGCCGCCGGGAAGAATCTAGATAGTATTGTAGTAGGTAACATCGCAATAGTGAAGCTTGTGCCGCGTGTACAGGTACATTATAATGCGCACTAAGGGTACATCACCTACGAGTTTTTGCCAACGCGAAAACGATGCCGATGAATGCGGGGTTTCCAGCGAGTGTCGTGGTCCAGGAGAAAACGAAAGAAGAGCGAAACTCGATGATTATAGTTATTAGTAATAAGTCAGACTGCTGGACGTGGAAGGAATATATCAATAAGTCGGCGTCATGCAAGATCTTGGCACATACCTCGCCTCTCCTTCATCTGTATAGTTTCCTTCAAAACATGAAGACAACAGGTCTTATCCGGCTATACCGCCACAAATGTTTTCTTTTCCTCGCCGACCCGTAGAACAACGAAAGCAAGCTTCGACTTTGTCCATGGCGTTAGGATAGTGGAGAGGATGGATCCGGATGGCGTTGGACTCCATAGAAATTCAGGTGAGGATATATTCAAGGCTTGGATGGAGATGAAGCCTTGGAGCCGATAATTCGCAGGGAAGTCGCTTCGCATCCCAAGTCTTTGTACTAGCTCTCACTGTAATAGAATCGTCAGCCAAAAGCCGGTGCGATGGACATCGCAGGGGGTACATGTGTGTATCACTGTGCGGCGAGTCCTTTACCTATTTCACCGACAGTAATCCCCAAAATCGAGGGCTTAGCACGTCGGGCGTTGGCTTCAAGGTCACGATGGCATTCCTCGTTTTTGTATTGTTTGTCTTCACCCCTAGGGCTGGCGAGACTTTCCACGACAAGGCTTGCTTTTTATTCTCGAGTCATAGCTTGAGAATTTCAACTTTCTCTATTAGTGGCTCAATATTCTCGTCTATTTCGCTTTCACTAACTATCTTATGACTCAAAAAAGCGTCACTGAAAGGAGTTCGTACATGAGCCTACTAACCGACTCTACCATTGCAATTTCGGTGATGTGAAATGAAATCTTCACAAGCCATCAGATGAATGAGCGTCTATCTGACATAACATATTACAGGCTTTTATTGGGCCGTTCATATCTGCATCCTTTCTCAGGTTAGCTTGTGACGAACCATTCGGCTCCTTCCTTGCAACATGGAGATAAAGGACCTTGTTTGTTTTATTCTAAGTCGTGAGTCATAACAGTCTGTCACTGTTGCGGCTGCAATCTAAATCAAATCTAAATTTATCTTATTTGTAGCAGGGCGTCAATCTCTCCTCATCGCTCATCCTTCTACTCTCAGGAGTCAGTACATTCAACAATGGATGGATTAGAGGCGTCATTCTGGGGTCGTACATTCCCGTTGCTAACCATTTGCTCATATGGAGACTTCCGGTTAGATCGCTCTACCCTCGCACCACGATAGCTTCTTATTCTTCAGGGCCGAAGATCATTAGTGTACATACTACCTGTCAAAGTCCCTTTAACGTCATAGTTGGTTTCGGCCAAATTTATCCAGGTTCGCTGGTTCGCGGGAGCTTTTCAGGATCCAATTAGGATCTCCGAATCTTATCGTCTCAAACTAGACAGATCCACGACTGTGAATCTCTGCCGTACCCATAGATACGGTGCCATCCTTGGACTGTTGTTGCGCAGGAACATAAAATTTAAATCTGGGTTTGGACACGGTGAGTCAATCCGATAAATCAAACTATTTTAATAATGAAACTTACCTACTCCATTGCCATTGTCCAATGAGTCCCATATACTCTGTACGGCATGAGCGCTGTACAGCATACTGGCAAAGCCACCCTTGTGATCTTTTTCTATATGGCTGACACCATAACTCATACAGCCGTAATGAGGTATGGTACGGCGGACCTAGATTCATTGTCTTTACATCAATCTGCCATATTCAACAATCTCATCGTCGAATCTTAGCAGTTATTCAACATTTGGCATTTCATGTTCGTGAGGTAATTCCCGAACAAAGGGATGGTGGAATCGAAATAGTGTGTATGGAATACACATTCGTATTCAATGGTCCTCCCCAAGCTTCTCCGACCGATTTTTGCGGCAGGGCTTCCTTGCTTCAAATCAATCACAAGAATGATGTATTCTACTACCTCCAAATGGATTAGCAGCGTTGGAAGGGGACTTTGGGGTTGGAATTAACGCATCTGGGTCTCTATACGACACTCCTAGTATGTCAAATACAAAGGTACTCGATATCTAAATCTCCAAGCATCCGGTGAACTGTTCTACAGAAGCCCAGTTTTCCGACATGGCAATCACTCCAACCCCAGAGCAGCAGTCTGTATGTGTATATCCCTTGTTATCGACGTCGATGCTATAGTACTGACAAACTGCGTTTAAAATGCCAGCGTCCCCCTCAATTTTGGGCGGTATTGATCGGTATCGACGGATATTTGCATACTCCTCAATTATCCGGATGTGTTTCCGATGCGAATGAAATGGAGAGGTACTTAATTGACACCCTACACGTTCCGGGGAATCATATCCAGTGCCTTCTTCGTGACGACTCCCAAATCGCTGCGAGAGTCGACCCCAATAGCGACCCCAGCGACGACCCTACCCGCAACAATATCATCCAAACACTTCGCAATCTACCTGCCAAGAACAATATCAGGAAAGATGACAAGATTATCATCTACTTTGCCGGACACGGTTCAATCTATCTTAATTCAGATTATTACAAGGAGGGGACCATTGAATCCTTTGGTTGCAGCCAGGCTCTATGCCCTTCTGACCGCGACCAAGGCACCCCCGACATTGGCGACCGGTTGATAAACGACATTCTCTCCAAAATATCCAAAGATACGGGAGCTCATATCACCGTCATTCTCGACTGCTCTCATTCCTCAGGCATCACACAAGGAATACCTGGTGCCATACCGCATAATGCCAATCCCAGAGAACAGGATGAAGCTGACTTCGGGGATACAGAAGGTAATCCATCCTTCGAGTCTAACCCCAGAAATGAGCTTACATCGCCATATGTAGGAAAGCGCCATACCTCCCCGCTGTCGCTTACATTTGAAGCCATGTTCGACAGCCCGGAAGACACCAAATGGGGCAATTTTCAGCACCGCAAATCTGAAAAATGGGTTCCTAATATGAAGTCTCATGTCCTTTTGGCGGCATGTCAAGGGTATCAGCAGGCGAAGGAGATAAAGAAGGAGGACGTTTCCAGGGGGGTTTTCACGAAGGCACTAATTGAGGTTCTCGAGTCAAAGGAATGGAAAGAAAAGGAATTGAAAGAAAAGACGTATGATGCCCTCACTGGTCAGTTGAATGCCCACAAGTTGGAGGGCAAGACACAGACATCGATCGCCATTGGGGAACGTAAGAACACACAACTTTGGTCCCAGGTATGACGGTACTTGTTTTTATTGTGTGCTCCTACGAGTCTGACATATTTACAGGAGCCAGTGAAACAGTGAAGGCGATAAACCACTGAAGGATAGCTGTCTTGATGCCGAGAATTCAGAAGGATTTTGACAGCGGATCGGGCGTTCAACACAATGGAAATCCGTCCTAGTTTAAAGATAGTATGATAGAAGATGTACGAAGAGGTAAATATAGCCATCTGTGATTCCGTAAAGTAAGAGGGACGCAAATGTACGGCAAACTATTCCTATTATAGATAAAACGGGTAAAACTTGAACATCAAGTTACTACGATAAAATGCACTTCACATACTGACAACAGAGAGACGGACCATCGCCGTTATTTTCCCACTGTACGCTTCGGTGCATTGTATCACAATGCTCGTCTTCTCCGATGGGCGCGAAAAGTAGCGAAAGAGTCTATTCCTAAGTTCGAAAAATCTGACTATATGCACTATTAGACGGCCAGGGACACACGTACCGTCACTTCTTTCAGGAAGTATCGACATGAGGATAACAGCGCACCTACGCTATCGTCTAAATGGTGTTCTTGCGATATTTTTCCCATTATCGACGAAACCTTCGCCGTTCCATCCCAATTCTGCCCTTTCTTCTCATATGACACCAGCCGCTACCGTGGGAGGGGATCTACGTCGGAATTGCAAGATGTGGGCTGAATTCGTCTTGTTGCGGTTGAGCTTTTTTAAAACTGGACGGTTGAGTTGCAGCAAAAGATTCCTGTCGAACCCTGACACGGGAAATCTTCGGTCGATATTTGAGAGGGGCTCTACTGTGAGTTGGACGTGAACTGGAATGTGCAGGGATTCGTCGCGGATGCAAGCCTGGAAGTAAGCAAAGATGCGATGATAGAGCTCGATCGGAGGAGGGATTGGTGTGCGCTGCAGAGCATAACGACCGTCGAGGATTGGTGTGACGCCGCGTTGGTAGTTGAAGTAGTCAGTTGATTTGGCGCTTTTGGATGGAGCCATGCCGCCACGTACATTTTTGAAGACGATGTCGAGCATTGCATGTGCATAATTAGTCAGATCATGTTTCAGGATAGCGAAGACAGACGCACCTTTACCCAGCACCTGAAGGACATCATGTTGCTCTGCGAGCTCGCCTTGTCGCAATGTCGTTGTTCGTTCCATAGGAGTAATGTCAGCAACAAAGGCGGTCATCATTTCCTGACGATGGTTATCACTCGTGAGCAACACATCGCAGACTAATTCCGTGTCTATTATTTGGTCACAGAACTTGTCCAGTCGACAATCGTTATCCAGCAGACGGCTCCGCAGGTCAGCGGACCCTACACGAATCGGATTTATATGTTCGCGTGGCTTTTGGAGCATGAAAAACAGGAACGATCACGGCAGAGATGACGGTACCTTCCACAGCAATATACTCTCCTCAGAGATCTGCTTTTTGGCGGCCAATGTTTCCTTTACATGACCACACAAAGCATCATCCGCGACTTCCACAACGATAGTGCCTTCAGATACATGGTTGTCGTCGTACAAGTAAATGGAGATCTGTAGTGGCATGAGCGTGGTGGTTTAGCTTTCATAGTTTAAAGTTAGGAGCGAAGGAAGGTGACGTGAGTGGCGGTGAGGAATACTACACGTGGTAATCGGCACATCGGTCCGATCAATCTCGGTTTATCACCGGTTTCCCTGATTCCTACTGCATCCAGTTATTTGCGACGCAGCCTTTTCTACCTGTTCCCTCTTCGTAGGATCTTCACACAGTCTATCTACAGAGATTTTGCCTTAGGGACAACCAAGTTGTGGATCCCTGAATAGATGTCCTGCATATAAGAAGCCGAATCAAGACACAATCCTCTCACAATCCAAGCTGCTCACCACGTCACTATTTTTCTCATTCTTGAAGAAGGAGTCTAATGATACAATTTCTGCTGTAGCGCTGACAACGGGAAGAATCTCTATGCTGCGTCCTGCTAATTACTGTGCCTCAGCCCGATTCTACGCCCATCAAGTTCGGTGTCCTTGGAGCAGCTGAAACCGCTAAACCCATTAAAGATCTATACCTATGTCGAGTAGTAGGCTCATTTACTTATGAAATTCGTATGTATTGCGATGTTCTCTTTGAGATATTCATTAATCGCTATGTATAGCCATCTGCAAGAGTCACCCACCCCATCTCACTGCCCGCTCCATCTGATATAAGACCCGTGATATCTGGTTATTGGCCTTTAATACGCTAACTCGTGCGAACTCGCTGGACTGTTGATTATTTGAAGGGCTACTCGAGCTCCCCGAAAGTGTTCAAAGTCAACAGTCGTTATTTCTCCGGTTATCAGAGTAAGTTTGGGTCCTTCTGCCTAAATAGGAGCACCAGAAGAAAAGGTGCAACCTGAAAGCAGTCAGAGCTGGTAACGAAGGACAAGACGACGTTGTGGTTACAGATCAGTATCAAGATCTGACGGGACTCCGTCTACTGCCATCATCGCACTGCTCAATCCATCGTGTACTTGTCTCTGGTGGACTACTCAGTGTTTCGTTTAGTATTCAGTACAGACGTCGAATAGGTGAACCAGTCCAAGTCCTGAGCTCTTTCCTGATATACTGACTACAACGCTTTTCAGATGATCTCTTCGTTCCTTAAATTCTCCACCTTTCGACGTAAAATATCACCAGATTGCCTTCTTTCATCAACTTGTATGTCCTCACCGGCAAGCGGTAGCAAGTGGTACAGTTATGGCTCGATATTCGCCACTTGACCAGAACTCCATCATTTCTGGTGCGGCTTTTCTCCACATCTTTGCCATAGTCACTAATCATGTCCCAGGCGGCGCGGACCCATCGGTGGGTACGACAGTTTGAGCTTTTTACTTTACTGTGAAGAATATCTGTACGTCATTTGAATTTTGTTTTGTAATTATCATCCTCATTGATTCTTTTGCCAGCCGGTACTTTTCATCGACAAACATGTGTTCGAAGTCATATATCTCACCGGTGACCAGTGTCCTACACATTCACGTACAAATGAACGTCTTTTCCTGGACGACAAAGGTTGTGCTAGGACATAGAGGTACGCTGAACCAGTGTGTTCACCGTCGAGCAGATCCCCGGCTTACTTAGTATTAAATGCTCCCATTTCCGCAGTCAAAGTATTGCAGGCTGTGTTGATGTCCTTGTGTTATATTTTGGTATTTTTATCTCACTGTCGAAATCCTGGTGCGTCGTTTGGTATTTCGCAATTGTGATTCTCCTTCTCATACTTCGTTTACCCCATGATACTTTCTGTTGACAAACAAGGCATGTAATTTCCGAAGACTGCAGTATGAGGATTAGATTTTCGGTGATTATATGGGAGTGATGACCTTGTATCAATTTTTGTTTTTCATGCTGCTCGAATTTTCGGGCTATACAGGTTTGGTTTGCTTACTTACTGAATGTTGGAATTATTGCAGTGGGAGGCTTGCAGTAGGTATAATACTGAATTGTTAGCTACTAGAGCTCCTAATGAGCTCCTTATATACTACACAAAGTATCTAGAATATTCTACCAAAAGTAACTAAATATATCTAAGTATCATGACAAATGAGTAAGCCGAAGCTTCGGGAATCTTCTAGTACAAGCTTGAAGTTGCAAATCCCAACACTGAAGCTTACTCAAGTTCCCATTATCCGCTGGGAAACATTTCTTGCTGCTCTTTGTCCTTTGGCCGAGCGCTCACAAGAATCAGTTCATTCGCAGTTCCATTTGTTGTCCGAATGCTTGTGCATTGATGTACGTTTCAGACTCTCAATCTAACCATTCGAGAGATACTATTTAAAACTTAATTATGTGAACTGTGGTCGACCATGACGATTGAGGCCTCATGTCGAACAAGATACTCCTACATGCGGACCTTAAAACAAAATATGGTGACACTGCTCGAGCGTGTGCAAAACTGGGATGGTACTAGCTTGGAGAAGCTACTTGAGTCTTTCGCTAGATTGCCTTAAAACCTTCTAGCTTCTGTAATATGTATATATATATGAATGATAGTGTACTAGATACTCAGGCGCTCGAGCACAGAATAATAAATGAAGTAGTTGTTGAATGTACTAAATTTCATCCCTATTTAAATAAAACTGCATTTAAACATATCTAAGTATCATGGAAACATAACTACAGAAGGAATAATTATCATAGAAGCAATCCGTGCTGTACTCGAGAGTGTTGGACATAGTTACTATATCGGTCAATCCATCTATCAAGTCGGCTTCGCGCCGACTTCCAGCTTGTATCCCAGCATGGCGCGGGACCACTCATAAATGACCAGGTTGATGAAGTATCAAAGCGATGTGGTGGCTGTATATTTCATAAAAATGGGGTAAATGTGGAGTGAAATGCACACTTACGCGGAGAGAAGGGAAGGTCATTCTAATTGCATTTCAGCCGGAGATGTAGGAGTCTGTCAAGCTGTTGCAACTCTGATAGTAAAGACTCGTTGTTCTTATCGGAAAGTGCCCGTCTTTTTGCCTCTCCAAGAACGCCCACAGAATCGATAGGATTACCCATCATCCCATATCGCATAGCAAGGTCTATCTCAGCTTGTTCCAAACGGGAGATTTCTTCTTGTAGATTAATCTAGGAGAAGGTGAGAATGGACATCGCATGCAACACAGTAAGGCAGATATACTCACGACTGAGATATTATGACTGGGAGAAGGGACGAGGATCGCACTGCGGTTGTCGAATGGTAGACGCTGATCACAGATGATATTGGTACGACTAGTGTATCTATTGAAAAGGAAGATAGGAAAGACACTCACTTTACCAAGGATTCGACCGTAGATGTCACGGAGCCACATCCATATCAAATCTAAGAATCGGAACATTGTATTCCTCGGAGATTGTTTAGGATTCTAGGAATTCTTCAAGAAATGACATAGCATACTTGTGAAGCTCCTCGTTACTGCGTTCGCTCTGAGTGAAGGGGGATATGAGTAGTTGCACTTTAGAAGAAGCCAGTAGGGGATGAGCTGTAATCCATCCTTTCTCGCAACTTATAAGTGAGAAGCTTCATAGTTCCGTCTCGAGTGCCGTGTGGAGAACACCTCTTTTCATTGGCTCGCATGTTCAAGATGGCATGCTAAAGCTGGCTCCCAATCTACACTCCGCGAAGACGGAGCATGTGCATGAGCATGATGTGATACAGCGAGGTAGAAGTTTCGAAGCATATCGATAAGAAGCTGGCGTGATGATGTTCCCGACTGGTGATGTGCAGTGTAGTGAAAATGCTATCTTGGTACTGGGAGTGTGTACTGGAGGCCATAAGTTTACATATGTATGCAACTTGAAGCGAGATATAGCTGATATATGGGATTCCTAGCTGTGCGGAACCGGTGACTATGCGGGAAAAAATAAGCTTTGGGAAGACCAATATTATTATTCTGTCTACGCTTTTATTTAAAGCGTTCCGTTTCACACGAGAAGACGACCCCCAACCCCAGATTCTTGTGCTCCTGCGTTCCCCTATGGGACAACCCGTGTTTCGAAAGTTAGCTCCATGCTTGGCGTTCGGGTCCGTTGGATCGTTCCATGTAATACTACCGACGTACCTACTGGTAGTACATATCCAGGGTTGACATGTGTCGACTTCTCTAGCAACTTCTGGAACCAAAAAGTGCGGAGAAGTGCATATGTGAGCACCCCATTCTTCATGCATTCACATTCCTAACACGCCGTCGACAATACGTGCAAACACACATACGGACACCGATTCAGCAGGGAAGATTTCATCTGCAGCGCCAGGCCTACCCCTCGGACAGCGCGCGCAGGAGTGTCGGGATAGTACGCAATGCTTCAATCAGAAAAGTATAGAGAATGGCATCCCCAATAGCAGCAGTCGAGGATCATGACAATTAGATACCCTTTCTCACGAGAGATTTGAGCGAGGGTGGTATTGATTTCTCATTCATTAACGTCCGTTCACCCGGTCCAGTGTTGCTGCAATCGATAGGATCGTGTTGACGCGTGCTGGGGTGCACTCACCGTCACGGGGGATAGTTTAACCGCCAAACTCGCATTGGATATGTTCAACATCTATTATTCAGGCATGGTGAGGTCCTCAGTGACATATTACCACACGCTCAAGGAGCAGCAGGATAGACAAGCATGTAAAGGACGTCAATATATATCGATACTAATCAGAACAGCCTAAAATCGGCATCTGTCGAAGAGCTAAAACGATAACGATCAGTCGGAGAGCCATAACAAGGAATGTACACCCACCGCCGGTGCGAATCCCGAGGAACAATGGTCAGAAGACTGATATTCAGCCAAGCCAATAGAAAGAAAGACGAGCTTGAAGGATGCAGAGAACCGCCGGAACCGTGCCGCTGGTTCCGAGAGAGAGAATGAGGTCGCTAGTAAGCAAGGGAGAACTTAAATTCCCATTGGCAAGTCCCGTCCGGATGTGCATGTGATAACGGACGAACCGGACCGCATACAACGCCTGCACCCCGGCGTACCATAAAGGTGGATGTGTTGACTGCCTGTATTATAGCCTTTGGTCAATGCAAGACTATTGAGGATGAAGGAGCCATGTAAAATCTTCAAAGTCTCCCAAAAAGGAGGTATCGGTGCGACTGGCAGCATCAGAAGACGCGAAACGATCCAAAATCATCGATGCTGTCCTCTTGGCGAGATCGCAATTGCTCAGCGTATCGTTTCCGCGTTATTTTGCATCCATCACCTCGTTCGTAGTGAGGTCGGTGTCAAGGGGAATACCGTTATGCTCATCCATCAATTACGACCAAAAAGTCGGTGTCTAATCAGCACATTTTGAAAGGTAAGCAAGATTCCGAGAAGAGCAAACCACGTACGTTCTCTCCCAATCCTCCAGTTTGTCGTATTCCCAGGGTCCCATTTCAGCATTCTCTACGAGGATACCCAATCGATCGAATTTACTTTCAGGCCTATCTTCCTGAACGCCTGCAGTGATAAATATCAGCCGGCATCGTAGATCTGATAAACACAAGAACATACGAGCAACAGCCTCCTTTCCTTTCCCTTCATTCTTTCCCGTCAATCGTCAACACCAATCTTGCACCAATCACGCAAGGTTCACCCTAGCAAAATATTTTGATACTCTGGTCACCGGGGAGATATGCCACTTTCAACACTTTCGGGAAGCTCGGGTACCATATCAAGTAGTCGGCAGTCCAGTCAGTCCGTACGAATCAGCCTAGTAAAAGCAGATCGAACAGGGTCTTTGGAATTACCGTCTGCAGGAGAGCTAAACCAGTTGGAAGCGAGTCGTTGGATAAGAGGAGGTGATATCGTTGTAAACAGCTACAACACGGTGAATGACGAACATCTGAAGAACATCGCAGCACGTACAAGTTCATGAGCAAGCCCACAGTGGTACCGTCTCGAATGTTGGGGACCAACTGTGAAAAGGTCGTATAAGCGGGCGCAAAATTGAATAGATATACAGAATGCACAGGTATAAAAATTTGCAGCACCGCCTATAATACGATTAATGAACGCAGTCCAAAAAGTGAGGAAAACGCACGTACCATCCATGAAGAAAACGACCATCCATGCCCTTCTATTAGCAACATTGAACGAGTAGTCCTCGAGCCCTAACAGTGTCATTGGGAGACGCTTTCCGGAGAGGATACACCTGAACGAACCGTGCAGTGTAACGACGATATACGATGTTCTAAACGATGCGGTACAACCCCGACTATTTACGCGTCGAAAGGTGAAGGAGAGATGCGGACGGGCAAAGAGATTGTGTATTCGCGGCTGCCTATGAAGTATCCTCTGCCAGGGTGATATCTTGCATCGTGCGCCCAAAACTGGGCTTAGGGTCGCTCGTCAGCCACCATGTCCGACGTCGTAGCCGAACCGGGTTGTACGTCGTCCTTGTGTTCCGAAGTTGCTAAAGATTCTATAATAGCTCGCTCAGGGACCAGACCTGTAGTGTTGCATTTAGTATCTCTCGAATGCTCGATACTCAGGTCGATGCATCTGTCCAGTGAGGTCCGTATCATCAGTTTTCCCTTTCAATGATTGAGCGCTGAGTCAGGGACTGAGGTACTGAGCGACGAACTGTCCATTGGCGAGCCGGGCAATGTGTCGAGCGGTACGATGACGGTGGTGGTGGTGGTGGTGTTACCTGCGCCAGGTCCCAATAAGGAACGGCGGTGGTAGGAGACTGAGTCGCGTCGGACCTTGAAAATGCAATTGATCCGCGATCACAATGTCGCGTTGTTGGCTACCAAAGTTTTCTGGTATTACGGGCATATACTAGACTCCGAGTCCTTGTCTCCTCTTTCTAGTGCAATTACAGAGGATATCGCAACCCGGCAGTTTTTGTACGACGGAGAAGGCCGTTGCAAACTTCGGCCCGCCCATGCCGGGCCCCCCAAGCTGGACGTTGCAGCACTAGTTTTGTTAGAACCCAAAATTGAGTGTAACGCGCAAGGCTCTGGTCCAAGGGAAATCTTTGATTACCCTACGTCTCACTCATGCAATAATACGTGCCGTCGCTACCGAACGTAAGTAATACTGGGCTTTGCTCACCGGCGTCCGATTCTTGACTCAGGTTACAAGATCAATGGGAGACTTTTACCTCATTCTGAACTACAGCGACGATAACGGCCTCCTCCTCCTCTCAGACAGTGACCTTACTATGTCCTTGTTCCAGCTGTGAATGTCGCTTTGGATCCCAGGACATGCGGTGGTTGCTACCAGGCACTGAATATACCAATCGCTTCAAACACCTACTGATGAACGGTCTCCCATTGGATGAGGAGATGCGTAACTTCATGACAATGTTCGCAGAAGAAGAGGCATTAGGAAACGAAGTCAATCGTCAAATCAATTGTCTCGAGGACTCGATGGATTGCTGGGTACATATTGGGGGATAACCATTGCCAACATCAGAGTTCCCCATCGACATCCCCCATCTTCCGAACGATTTGCTCGTCAAAATCTTGTTCCAACGAGTAGACTGTGATGAACACGATATGAGCTATAAATAAGAAAACTGGTCATCCAAAACAGTACAGCCTGCTCGTATCGCCGTCATCTTTGACTACTGCTACTCAGGTAGTATGGCAAGGGTTGCGAGGACGGTTCTGGAGACAGTACGCTTCACCTTGGCTCTGCAGAACCCTGACGCATTGGATACCATGAAGAATGCTGCAGATAGTATTCTTGAGGCTGACACTGTCCGGAGGATCGACTGGAAGCCTGATTTTTCATCCCATGTTCTGTTGGCGGCGTGTCGTATTCATGAGACAGCGACTGAGCTTCGTAGACAGGATGGGACGTACTATGGTCTTTTTACCGATGCGTCGCTCCGTACTCTGATGTCCGATCAGTTGGAAGATGAATCGACATTTTTAGATCTCCGGGACGCCTTGCCCCTATATCCAGGTCAACATCCCGTCATGGTTGGAGATGACAAAAACAGTCTTGTTTGGTTTGGAACCCTCATTGCAGATTCCTCAGGCCCCGACCTTCGTCGTCTGGCCGATGTCAAGCTGCAGTAACACACCTTGGTTGAGATCAACAAGCCCATCTCTACTGTCGGACAACACGACAACGAGAAAGCGAACCCTTGTGTATGCACATAGTACTCCTGGTAGCATCCACGCTCATCATAAATTCTTTAAGTCCATCACGCCATGGATGGTTCTCGAATATGGGCCGTCGTTATCGGTAGCGACGAATATATATGTGGTCCGTTGTATAGCTGTGTGTCGGACGCGTTGGAAATGAGAGATTATTTGGTCGACGTTCACCGAGACTGCGTTCCCAGAGACGGTATTCAACTGCTTCTCGGCCTCTCCAAGGAATTCTTTGTCGAATACTCCGATGACTTACCTGGTGCCTACCCTGTTCCTTCATTTACAGCCAGACATGTCTCGAAAAAGGGCATCACATCACCGTCATCCTGGACTGTTGTCACTATATCAGCCATACTCGATATCATCGGGGGCGAGCAGTGCGCGCCATTCCCTCACTTCCTCAAGTTTTATGTATCAGCATGGTTCGCTCTGCAGACACAGATTTACGGCGTCTCTCTATCCTCCACGAAGACCAATCTATCTAGGTTCAGGAATGTCGCCCAGATATGGGATCCCGTGTAATCTTCGCAGCGTGCAAGACGTATGGGTTTGGTTATGGGGCAGGGGACAGGAGGTCTTATGGCCCTATCACAACTGCGCTTCTTGACATGCTCAACTCGGGTCGGTTGAAGAAAAGAGCCACATACCTTTATCTTATCTTAGATATAGGTCGTAGCTGGGCGCCACAAGGACGCACATAACTGGTATGTAGGTATGAAGAATGATTATAAATCTCCATTGCTGGCATTGACGGTATCGTTACGTTGCGCAGTCGACCTCACATAGTTCAATGTCCAATCACTGTCGCGACATTCAATCTATAATAAGCTTGGTTCACATGTGACAGTTATGTAAAGAGTGCATTATCGCACGGCATTTTCAGATGAGATGTTGACCGAAGGTTAGCTTGCATGAATGGATCATCTGGTTTTGGGTCACCGGTAGTGTTCTGCTTCTCTTCCATCGTTTAATATATCCTACTTATCTATCTTCACTCAAACTGAGCGACAGAGGGGGGATAGCTCATGTCAGCCCCGTGCTTACACATTCTACCTCCTTCAACTCTTACTGACGAGTTGCTATCAGTCCGGTATAACATCAGACCGTATCCATAGTGAAAATCAATAGAGTTTTGATTCAATGGACATTCTAGACCATACATTTTGCAGCAGGTATCATACGTTCACTACTCCCTATTCCCCATTGGTTTCTGCTCCCGGACATCATTTGGCGCCTAAGCATTAAAGCGCCGGTTCAACTTGTGTTCACCTGCAAGATCTAAATGATCTTCGTTTCCCTTTCTGCACATCAGAATTCTCAATCCGTTTCCTGCATGTGGCTGAAGAAGCGCTTCGGCGAACATACAGGATCCGATACTGACAGGCGCTTGAAAGTGAGAACCATTCCCCCTGTATTATGGCGCTAATTATACACTTTATTGAGGGCATATGATCATGTTCCAGCGCTTCAGAGCCTCTTATTCGATCCATTATTATCGTAGGCACCGACCTCTTTCAAAATAAGTCATATGCCAGAGATGCTGTTATACGTGTCATGTATCGGTAGGTTTATGCAATGTCATACCTGGCTGTATATTGTTCTTACTGATTCAACCCTGACGTATCTTTGCCCCCGTTTCATGCTGCTTGATCAGCGTCAGCGATATCTGCGCAATTTCAATGAGCACCCTAAAATTTTCACACCCCCCCACCGCATCAAAATAAAGAGACCTCTCATTTCCACCACGACCGTATATAGCATGCACAAATGAACAGGGAACCAAAGTATACGCGCTTCAAGGCACAGGACCAATGGCCCTCATGAATGTCTGGTAACTGGGAGTTTCGCTTATGAATCTTCAGTACTTTTGAATAAATAAAAATCGAAGCCGTTCAGGGTCTGAAACTGCATGCTTACTATCTCGACTCTCCCACCGTAAACTACTTCAGAAAATTCAGTCGCAGATTTTCTTCTATGTTGAATTTAGGTGGATGCGCTATAGATTGAATATGTCTAAGAGACGATCATCGCAGGAAGGAAGGAAGGAGGTTTTATCAGTCGTCAGTTGGAACTTTGAAAACGCCGTATTTCATTCGTACTCCAGAGCAGAAAGCTGACCAACTTGCCAGCCGAATTGAGGTTCAGCCGATTCATTCGGGCCGCTTGTTCTCGCGTGATTATGGGCTTCTCGGGAAACCAGTACGGCGCTTATTTGCTGACTAACAAGGTAAGACAAGTGAATACATTTCTTTCAGTACCTTGGATATCATTCAACGATGGTTAAATCTATGGAATGGTTCGGTGACAGAGACATAATACTCGAATATATTGAAATCACCTTTGAACAAGTTATAGCGATGGGGCAGGACCGTACGAATCCGTTTACCATGGGGGAGAGGGGTATAGATCTAGACAGTATTTTCAAAGTATTCAATACAGAAACGGAAAGGTTCTGCTCCTCTGATGCGAAAGGTTGGCCACGGTCCCAGAGGCTAGCGCCACATCGAAAGGGGAATAAAACTCTAGGATGATAGTTAGCGCCGTGTAATCGGAAACGAGTGTCGAGAATTCAGACTGTAAGAATGATAGTACTCTTCGGCGGACACACTGTGGGGTGGGAGCATTTGCGAGGAAATTATGCATCCCAAAAAACGGGCGCAGGCTGATGCCGTGAAATCGACCTAGTATGTTTCTCTTTTCCACGTTCGCAACGGCAACCGAACCGTCATGTCGTATCCATTTAAATAAGTAGCATGATATATTTGATATTACTTGTGAGCTTTCACCAAAATTACCCATCTGACCAAACCAGCGATCTTCTAATCGTTATGTTAAACATTTCAAGAGATTAAGCAGGTATTAAGGATCAGTCTGCCTTAGACACTCTAGAGGTCGCGCCTCGTGCGAGACTCTTTGTACCTGTAAACACAAGGGGCCTAAGTGAGGAGAATGGTGCCGTGATGCGCTAGTACGAATTTTCAATGTTTCGGTCATCTGTCAGACTTAATCATCTGTGAGTAGAACTCATTTCTTTCAAGTTCAGTGCGGATTCAAATTCGGTGAATCAGACAACAGTGACCTTTTTTTGTATCAACTTGAAAATGTAGCCGATACACCAGTGGATAACGCATTCCTGCTCTCCGGTCAATCTAGGTCGTGTTGTGCTTGTAATTTTAGACCAAAAGAGAAGACTTACTTGTCTTTTGAAAGTCTTTGAATCTGACCAGAGAATCGTTCGAGCGTAGAGTATTCGTGGACCACAAAATGCGGGTCCCGACTCGGAGTTATCACGATTAACCGCGGTAAGCTGGGTGATGATAACATGCAGGACCACCCAAGTTCGACTCCATATCGGAGCGAGTCTTTACAAAGGCGCCAAACTCGCGTACACTGACAGGGTGCTTCTGTTCATGCAGTAGTCGTGCTGGGCAAGGGCCAGGAAGTCAATGCAGGGTTACATAGCAAATGGTAAGATGACAGATAAAAACCTAAGAGCGGCATAAACGGGCCGGACTCGACGATTCGGACTCCGACCTTTTACTGAACCACCAAGTCCATTCTGACGCAGCGAGACAGCTATTCCACTGACGCTCAAGACACCTGGAACTTTCCCATATGTTCACTTGCATTGTCCAGGGCCATTGGTACTCTCTCTTCCATTCATTTTGCTGAATAGGAATTACTGTAATATTACGACCGGATGTTCACCGGGTGTTATGCGTTATGCGTTAGGTTCACCCGGGTTCATGTTCAATACCAAGTGTGACGTGTTATAGATTATAATATATGTTCATGTTCATAACCCAACTGGGACAATTCTATGCGGCATCTCATGAATCGGCACAAAATGTCCCTGAAGCTTGTGGTGGATTGTATTTTGGACAGAGAAGAGGCATAAATTAGCTCAGAAATTCGCCAGAAATCACGCAAAAAAAAATTTAAGTAAATAGTGTTTCCCCAGAAACATGTTCATGACCCAGCGTTACGCGTTATATAATATGACTTAAGCTCAGTTCAGGGTGCCGCGTTATGCGTTATATGAACATCCAGTCGTAATACTACAGTATTGTCCATGCTGAGCCTGGAATCACTACAATCCCGTTTCTTTCTCGAGTACACGGATTTCCGAAGGCAAAAGGGTATTTAGAGATAGCCCGGAGACGTGTGGGGCAAGGACCGATTTCTATCTTCGTGAAGGTGCATTGAAACTGCTAGACTTTTACAATGCGGTTTCACTCATATGGATAAAGATTCATCATTCCACCGTCGTCTGGCTCACCGCGATAAACGCAGGTATCAGGGAACTGCAAATGATCAACCCCACCCTTTGAATGACATACAGTGTGCCTGTAGCGATGCCCAAGTCTGGAAACCGTGGTGACGAGTCCGCATGCTAATGTACACCTTCAGAGATTTCTTTGATAGTACTTGGACGAATTGTGGCGAAGAACAGAGATTGGTGCCGGGATGCCACATCAACACATTCAGCGCACCGGTATCCTCATAATAGCACCGTTTGAAGGACCGAGATCCTTACAGTAATCTGAACATGACATATTGCTTGAAAACATATGTCCTAGCATTTAAATTTCAGCTTATCCTATACCTGTAGCAGAGAGAAATGCGCAAATGTCATAACTAGAATCGATTCTGCAAGTGATACAGGAAATACGCGAAAGGCATATTGTTTTCCATTGCGACGTCCGCCTTGCTGATACTACAGAGATAGCGTGTCTGATGAAGCGCATAAAAGACGATTATCGAAAAATAGCCAGGATACATGCTTTACCAGAGGATTCAGTTACCGGTCCATGGAAGCGCCGTGTATTAGGTAAATAATTCCCCTTAAGACACTTTTTCATTACAGCCAGTTGCGCCGTATGGTGCATAGCGGGTACGTACTGGCCGCATAGATTTCGAGA